ACACACAATGAACCCTTGACAAAAACATGTCCCCTTCCTTTGATACCTCTTACACACAATGAATCCATGACAACAACATGTCCACTTCCTTTGGTACCTCTTACACACAATGGACCCATGACAACAACATGCTCACTTCCTTTGATATCTTTTACACACAATGAACGCATGACAACAAGATGCTCACTTCATGGAATGCAATAATGTGTTCCATTGTGATCTCTGGTATAGCTGTTCGTCACAGATAGGTATCTACTATCTAGAAGTCAGCGTGGCTTGACTGTCCACTTCCTTTGATACCTCTTACACACAATAAACCCATGACAACAACATGCTCACTTCCTTGGATATCTCTTACACACAATGAACCCAAGACAACAACATGCTCACTTCCTTTGATACCTCTTACACACAATGCACCCATGACAACAACACGCTCACTTCCTTTGATACCTCTTACACACGATGAACCCATGACAACAACATGCTCACTTCCTTGGATATCTCTTACACACAATGAACCCAAGACAACAACATGCTCACTTCCTTTGATACCTCTTACACACGATGAACCCATGACAACAACACGCTCACTTCCTTTGATATCTTTTACACACAATGAACGCATGACAACAAGATGCTCACTTCATGGAATGCAATAATGTGTTCCATTGTGATCTCTGGTATAGCTGTTCGTCACAGATAGGTATCTACTATCAATAATTTAGAGCAATGCTCAAGATACTTACTGGTCTGTAATTACCAGTATCCAGACTACTTCCTTTCCATGCTCACTTCCTTTGATACCTCTTACACACAATAAACCCTTGACAACAACATGTCCACTTCCTTTGCTACCTCTTACACACAATGAACCCATGACATCAACATGTTCACTTCCTTTGATACCTCTTACACACAATAAACCCATGACAACAACATGTCCACTTCCTTTGATTCCTCTTACACACAATGAACCCATGACAACAATATGTCCACTTCCTTTGATACCTCTTACACACAATGAATCCATGACAACAACATGTCCACTTCCTTTGGTACCTCTTACACACAATGGACCCATGACAACAACATGCTCACTTCCTTGGATATCTCTTACACACAATGAACCCAAGACAACAACATGCTCACTTCCTTTGATACCTCTTACACACGATGAACCCATGACAACAACATGCTCACTTCCTTGGATATCTCTTACACACAATGAACCCAAGACAACAACATGCTCACTTCCTTTGATACCTCTTACACACGATGAACCCATGACAACAACACGCTCACTTCCTTTGATATCTCTTACACACAATAAACCCATGACAACAACATGCTCACTTCCTTTGATATCTCTTACACACAATGAACCCATGAGAACAACATGCTCACTTCCTTTGATACCTCTTACACACGATGAACCCATGACAACAACACGCTCACTTCCTTTGATATCTTTTACACACAATGAACCCATGACAACAAGATGCTCACTTCATGGAATGCAATAATGTGTTCCATTGTGATCTCTGGTATAGCTGTTCGTCACAGATAGGTATCTACTATCTAGAAGTCAGCGTGGCTTGACACGGTGTACATTTAAAGAGCATTGCTATTGTTGTTTGCTGCTGATCTTGATATTTTTAATTACAAACACATGAACGTCTTACCTAAACCACGTCTGACGTAAAACCTTTACTTACTGTGCTACCATTGTTATAGGGCGTGACCTTTGCCAGTGAAAAAAATTGTGTATTTCAAAGCTTTTCTCGATCACCAGATTCATTAAATAAACATGTTGCCGTACAGATGATGTTGTTTACGGCAGAGCATACCTCTGGGTACTTACGGTTGTCTGTCTGAGATGATGTACGATCCTAGGCCTCGGTTTGATATGTGTGTCTAAGTGCAGACTCGTTAACGCATTCATATCACCAGGGATGGAGGAACGGTCATATGCGCTGCTCGCCTGTACAGCGAAAACAAACTATTTTGTTTGACTTTCCTTAATGTGATCGGTTTTCACTTAATGCCTCAATATTTGATTGAATCATTGTTGCACTTGTGCAGGGTTGATCCTGTACACGATGATCGACTTCCGCCTTAACTTACCGACCAAGTCTCATCGTCGGCTGTTAGACCGTTTCCAAGGCAATTTTTGTAATTAACAAAACCTCTGATGTACAAACAGCAGTAAGGTTACACCTTTAATTATGTTGAAATGACATTTGTTTGATTATAATTTCATAAATATGGCAAGGTCCATTTACACACGTAGAGCAAAATAATGGACAAGGAATGTGAACATTGTTTCTCTATTAAAAAGACTATTTGTTTTTTTTGCTGGTATAATTACAATTATATAGCATGCGCATGTTCTGTCGTTAGAGAAACTTTGGATATGCCTCCAGAACTACATATGTATCTTAATTTAATTATTTCAACATTCACCCTATCACTGTGCTGTCTGACTAGCGGGCCTTCCTGGATATATCACAAACACATTTGTAACTAACTTCGTTTGATTATCTCACAAATCCCAAATAATAAAGTATGATATAGTAAAGTCATTATGTTAGGTAGGCGTTTTCATATACCATCGATAATCCCGACTGAACATGCATTAACGTTAACGCGTGATGTTGGAATTTAAAATCAATTAAGAAAATTCAATCACATTAGCTAGATATCGTTACTGACGAGAGCATATTAAGATTACTCTACAACCAATGAACCATGTAGTATTACAGAACATTGTACATGGGATAGGGTTGAATATTCTCCTAGTTTCTCGATAGAGTATGAGAGAGGACAAATAATGAATTTCTAAATTATTTTTTTCTGCCCCCCACACAATTACTATCACTGCATGAAAACTTTCCGGAATCCTCCACCTGGTATACCGTTTTTTCACTTATCTAGCCCGAATGTCAAAAGCCAATCACTTTTTCTGTACATAAAATGATATATAGTTGTCCCATGGCGACTGTTTTCTGTGGTAATTGTGCTATATGCTGAGATACGAAATAGTTCATGTTTGTGTCTTGATAAAAGGTCGGATTACCTCGAACTGTCGCTATTACTTCTTAGATCTAATCCTTTTTTATCATACTTCTTATACATATATATAGTGTATCGGCCAATACTGGGCAGATTGACTGGGTTCAGGATATTGTTTTTGTAATGTCTCAACAGTCGACAATAATCAATTGCTGATAATACCAAGCATATCCTTCACACGACTGATTAAGTTAGAGGTCAGTGTTGACGTGGAAGCCAACATTTTTTCCGCACATTGCAGATGAGCAGACGATTTACAAGGATACAGGGAGCGGTCATATGGCCGACAAGACGTGCGTCTTAAAAAGTATATTTATAGCACTGATTGTATGAATTGAATAACTTCGCTTTTTGCAAATGTTACCTTAGGACCACAGGTTTTGTTACCATAACGACGCGAATTAATAGAAAATTTCCCCATGAGCACAGGTTTTGTCACCACAACGAGGCAAATCTGGACTCTGATTCCCCCAGATAAAAGAATATAATCAGTAAATTCGAAAGAGGGAGATGGGTATGACAACCTGTAGGAACAAAAGGCCCAATGGGCCTGCATCGCTCACCTGGTATTAATCTCACTCTCTTAAAAGTGGACTAAAATACAGTTACAGGCAGAATATCAGTGTTTGATTCATAAGAACCTATTAAAAGATTTAAACATATGACGCCTGTGACCTTGAATGTCGAACAAGGACATAAGTTGAAAGTGGCTCAATGTCATTCATTTGACGAACTTGATAGCTCTTCATTCCAGCATGCTACAGGCCCAATATCAGTACCCTGGGCCTTTCGGTTATTGAGGAGAAGTCGTTTGAAGATGTTAAGACATTTGACCGCTGTGACCTTGAAAGTGGGTCAAGATCATTCCTTTGAACAAACTTGGTAGCCTTTCATCCAAGCATGCCACATGCCCAATATCATTACTATGGGCTTTTCGGTTATTGAGGAGAAGTTGTTTGACAATTTTAAGACATTTGACCCCTCGGAACTTGAATGTTGGTCAAGGTCATTCAGTTGAACAAACTTGGTAGCCCTTCATCCCAGCATGCTACAGGCCCAATATCAGTACCCTAGGCCTTTTGGTTATTGAGAAGAGGTCGTTTGAATATTTTAACATATTTGACCCCTATAACCTTGAGAGTGTGTCAAGGTCATTCATTTTAACAAACTTGGTAAAACTTCATCGTAGCATGCTACAGGCCTAATATCAGTACCCTGGGACTTTTGGTTATTGAGAAGAAGTCGTTTGAAGATTTAAAGACATTTGACACATGTGACCTTGAAAGTTGGTCTAGGTCATTCATTTGCACAAACTTTGTAGCCCTTCATCCCAGCATGCTGCAGGCCGAATATCCGTACCCTGGGCCTATTGGTTATTTAGCAGAAGTCGTTTGAAGATTTAAAGATATTTGACACATGTGACCTTGAAAGTGGGTCAAGGTCATTCATTTGAACAAACTTGGTAGCCCTTCATCCCAGCATGCTACAGACCCAATATCAGTACCCAGGGCCTTTTGGTTATTGAGAAGAAGTTGTTGGAAGTTCTTTAAAGTCATTTGACCCCTATGACCTTGAAAGTGGGTCAAAGTCATTCATTTACACAAACTTGGTAGCCTTTCATCTCAGCATGCTTCTGGCCAAATATCATCACCCTAGGCCTTTTGGTTATTGAGAAGAAGTTGTTAAAAGTAAAATATTGACGACAGGCGACGGACGGACCGACGACGGACGCCGCACCACGGCATAAGCTCACTTGGCCCTTCGGACCAGGTGAGCTAAAAATGCATCAAATAAATTGACATCCAACATAAGTCACTTACACAGTGGTATATCGTGTCCTGGTAGTGACGGGACCTTCCCACTTCCGGTTTGTACTAGCCTTATGCTTCCAGTTTTCTGTCTCATACATAATTGTGTCGTTACAGGGACGTTCATATCCGGCCTGTCGATCCTATGTTGTACGAGAGCTAAGACGAAAGAGATGAGCAAGAAGAAGATTGTTCTTGTGAACACGTGGGTGGCCTTTCTACAGTTCATAACCGCCTTCGTCCTCCTCCTGGGCTGGATCTGGAGTATCATGTGGGGCGCAGCTTTCATGTCCATATCAGGTAAAATAGGCAGGCTTTCTTGATCAACTGTACCAGGTGACCGTTACCGCCAAACTTATTTTTATGTTGTGGGCGTGGCCTTTATGTCCATATTAGTTACACGGAATAAATTTCTGAGTTTTTGCAACTAAAATATTTTGCAGGGTATCCTTGTTTTAAATTAAGATCTACTGTCAATTTTTAAGATAATCAATGCTTGCTAAACATGCTGGTTATATAAATTAAATTATTAACAAATATGCAAAGTGGAACTGTTTGTTTATTGCTCAACTGTGTATTTCGTCACCGTTGACAACGCATCATCTTTCCCGCGAAGAAAGCTGTTCAATTAATGTTGTTTTTATGACGGTGTTTTGCTTTTTAACGTGAAATAAAACATAGTTTTCTTAATTTCAAATAAAAAAAGTGTATGTAATAGAACGTAAATATAAGGTTTGAAACGCATCTTTCCATCTTAACAAGATTCCACGTCACCCATGTACATGTGTAATAAACGCGATGGTCACATAAAAGGCGCGCCCACTTTGTAAAAAATAGTGTCAAGACTAGTGTTTTTAACGCATCGTGGTATATGTTTGAACGGAACTGTGTTGCATACCCTCATTAATGTTAAAAAGATGCATTTCAAACCTTATATGTTACAGAAATACGTTTTGCATGCGAGAAAAACACTTGTCTTGACACAATTAATTTTTTACAAAGTGGGCGCGACTTTTATGTGACCATCGCGTTTATTACACATGTACATGGGTGGCGTGGAATCTTGTTATTTACAAATATACTGTGGGCATGACATCATGCCTGTTACACATGCATTTCAGATATTCGAGTTTAAACCACAATGGACTTATTTTCATTTTTATTAAAAATGGGCGTGACTTTCTTGTGGCCGTAGGGGTAGTTGTAATGATTGCAGGTATACGACGGAAATGGTCTTATGATGATTATACATGTGGATATGAGGTGGGAGTGATACCTTATCATTACAGTGTTAAGTTTGCTTTGACCCCAGGTTCATATAAGAAGAAGAAAAACAACAATAGACTTGACTTTTTTTTATTAAATATGAAGAATTGGCGTGGCCTCCTGTTTTTCAGATATACGGACATTGCCGTAAGTTTTTAAGGTGTAAACGTTTGACGCGGTTACATGATAGGTATGTGGTGGGTGTGGCCTCAGACACAATGCATGCACGTCTATGTTAATACAGGTATACGGTGGGCGTGGCCTCGTATTCATTACAGATATGCGATTGGTGGGACATGAGATTAATTACAGAAAATTAATAAAGTTGACTCATTCTGCTACAGAAATAACATATCTACATGTGGTGGGCGTGTCTTTCATGTTATTCATGTTTGTGTGGGTCACATAATCGCGCATCGTTAAACTCGCGTATATAAAAAATAAATAAACGATGAATATCACGACGGACTTGGATCATTTCCGTGGTACCATACAGCTCCAGACCCTCGATATCCCGGGGCAAAATAATTACAGATGAGATGTTTATACAATTGCTGATCAATACTTTGCATTAAAATGAACAACCTACGGAAATATTTATTGCATAATTAAAGTGCATATCTATAATGTATCATGTGTTATGTATGATTCAATCCCAACACGACACTGGCTTTTAGAGTAACGACTCAAATTCTGCACGGAAGATTGCGTGCGCGTGATCCACTTTCAGCTTTGACCTTCATTGGCTATTCATTTTAACTCTATTCAATAGTACGGAATTAATTATGGCGGTTTAGGAGCAAGTCGTGTCTGATGCGTTATTCTAGGGAAATATCAATAACAATTATCATGTAAGTGTGGACTCATTTAAATGACATTGATCAATTATGCGTACAGACACACGGGGTTTCCAAGTATAGGTATACAAGAAGATTATGCAATCATGTGGCGCAACCCATTAGCAGTGACCATGTGCACTCATACAAAGTAAATACCAATACGGCTAATTCGGATCCAAAATTCGTTATTCCGTTAGGGCATTTCCATGTACTTCCTAGCACGAAGATTCATTGTCTTGCATGTACCACGTGGCTGATACGATGTTGTACAATGTAAACCAATACATTGTATATGCATCACTGTGGTGCATTATGGGAATATAGTGTTGTCAATGTGAAAGTGTCATTATAATATAGAACCAGGTCTTGTTTCCCGTCTGTTTATATAAACTATAGTCTATACACAGGAAGTGAAGAGATATTTTGATACAGTCCTTTTTCAAGCAACGGCAAATTATTTCAATGTTTCCAAACATTTATATAAATATATCATTGTGACTTTGTTCTTTTCAGATCAACATTATGAAAAGTTACATTCTGAGAATAATCGGAAGGGGCCCGACAAATTGAAAGAGGAAGCAACAAAAACCGAGAAAGAGGAACTTTCTCCTCATAAAGAGTTACCGAAGCCGGACCCACCCAGTTCCCCTAAACTAGAACCCATTCCACCATTCACAAACACGGCGCCGTCAACCATCACCGGATCTGCTTCCGACACACAACTTCATCCTATGATTGTACTGCAAGAAATTCCTGTCGTTAACCAATCAGAATCGACATTATATCCCGCGCGACCAATTTTGAATGCCAGAACAAGGCACCAAAAAATCCTTCGTCGTCAAATGTCAGACAATGACTTATCTCCCTTCAGTTTGACACAAGAACAACTACAGGAGATTGTAATACACGCCGCTCCCGTCAATCGGAGACGGGGACTTCCGAGGGGGGACAGCGCCGCATCGGAACCCTCCGCAACGGGTACAACGCTCATCAATGTCGCCGAGAAATAGATTATCTTATTTGTTATAAAGAATACAGATTTAAGAGCAACCAGGAAGAAATTTAACAGAGTTAACAAATTAATATATTCATATGAACGCACACACATATTTGGGCGGTCTATCACAGAAATGGGTGTATTTGTGGCTGTATTGCATAATTGTTCATTTGTTTTGTGTACATGTAACCGACTTGTCACTTTCTACACACCGGGCGAGGTCTTAGAGACGGATGATATATTCTAGATTACCAACATTTTCTAAGATATAAGGAGGAGATACTGTTTGCGATTTCTCACAAAAAAAAACCCCCATAAAAACCAGAAGTGGGCGTAACAGTACCATAGGGATACGTCCGAGTGTAACAGTACAATAACGATACGTCCCAGTGTAACAGTACAATAGGGATACGCCCCAGTGTAAAAATACAATAAGGATACGTCCCAGTGTAACAGTACAATAAGGATACGTCCCAAGTTGTGGCTCTAGTTGTGTTGATTCTACATTCCATCGCGATTGTAAACTGTATTTGATAAAAACACAAATCCCGTTTGTCAATAATTTGAAAACAATTCAGTTTTGTCTCGTTAATCAAAGGTTGGGAAGCGACATTTTCTCTATACGGATAAATGAAAAAAATTCGCATCGTTCACAACTAAGTCAAACAATTCCAACTCGGAAAGGTTGTGCCTGGTTCTACTGGAGATAACTCTCACATCCGACAGTTAAATAAATATCTTGTGATGATTACAGTCAAATACAAATTTGTTTTGTGTTTTCCTTGGTATCGTTGGAAATTGTGATTTTGTCTGATAGTATTTGAAATTCTTTATTTTATGCAGGGAAAAACACATGTTTTCAATATCGGGTAATCGGAGATTGAAGGAGTTGCTTGGAACATAAGGGTTACGACCGATTGTGTAAGACCACCGATACCATCCATGTGGGTGGTGTCTACGGCCGATAATGTCATATGGGTCTTGTTTATATTGACCGATTGGTAAAAGTTAAACGGTCCAGCAATATGCAGGCGATATAAGGGCCAAGCAGGTACGTAAACAATAACAAGCATTAACGTCAGTTTTAGTAACAAACAATTGCATACAACATTTTGTTTCAAGAATGACAAGTTAAAATTTTGTTACACCAATGTGTCAACAAAACCGTAATTCGAACTAAACATGGATAAACTAGGGCAAACTATGTAAAACTAGGGCAAACTGTGTAAAACTAGGGCAAACTATGAACTAGGGCAAACTACAAACTAGGAAACGTGTTTCACAGTTTAACAGACAAGAAAACATTTGTATACTTCTGTTTGTTTCTTAATCGTACACGTCGAAGTTTATTTGCCTCTTAAAGTATGGTCACTTGTCGATATGACAGAATGTTAAGGTGAACAACTTGACAATTGGTGTTGGCGCGTGAATGTGACATGTGGTGTTGGCGCGTACATGTGACATGTGGTGTTGGCGCGTACATGAAACCGATTGTAATCCTGATTCTTTGTAAAGGTTGGGTGACAAGTGAGTCTGGTTCCTCCAGTTACAATACGTGCAGTTTCAAATGGTATCTTGTAACCCCAACTTTGTAGCTAGATTTAACTCCGGTTTACCAGAAATAGCAGTTTACGTATAAGTATGAATGATCTTTTTATAGCCAAACGTTGTGAACTTTAACATGTTATAGTGTTTTAAAAGCATATTTTTTTTTTATTTCTATGTATTTTGGCTAGTGTTGGGAATCGGTTGAGATTTCAACATCGATGATGGGATATAATCGGTTAGTGTCAACCGATCGATTTTCGATTATTAATTGGTTACCCTACCGTTACATAATCCTTAAAAAAACATGACCTTTTTTAGCAATGGCATGGCTTTTCCTTTTATCAATACTACTAATGAAATTTCAACTTTGAAGCAAACCCCAACACGTTTTTTTACATTTAATTATGTTTAAATAGCATGATTGATAAGAAGTTATATTTAAGAGTAAAAGGACAGAACTCCCGTTCTCTCTTAGTGAAAATGAAAGTAGAACTCGCACTTCCGGTTTTGAAAACAATCATCGATGTTGACATCTCATAATCGATTGTCGGGAATCGGTTGCCTTTCCGATTATATATCGCTTATAATCGATCATCGGGACGACACTAATTTTGGCATCATGATGTCATTGCGATATATGCTATTTCTTTGTGTGAAAGGAAGGTCTGATTTCGATCATGATCATTAGTATGCCTTTGTTTTGTTGCCATTGCCCCAGCTCTATGAGGACGTAACATTACTTGGATACATGGCGGGTGTCAACGAGGAAGAACAGGACGCTTTCCCTTCCGGAACACATGGTCTTGTTATCTGTGTACTGTTTTCAACGGTCTCTGTTCAAATTATTCCTTTAACCATAGTGCGCCCTAGTTTAATCAATTTTCAGTTTGAATTACGGCTTTTGTACATGTTTTCTTCTTGTTTTATGTTATGTACAATAAAAAATATTAGTTGGTAGAAAAGGCTTAGTTCAACCAGAGACGTATATAACACATGGCTTTATAGTCTCTGGTTCAACTGATACACAGAAAACACTAGGACGGTCTATAGATAACACAAGCCGGTCTGTAGATAAAATCTTTTATTAGATCATCCTGCCTTGTCTATGGCCCAGAGAGGACACCTAGGCCCAATTAAGGCACTGGACAAAAGCGAGTACGAGGTCAAATATGTAGTAAATACACAGATATATGTAAATAATTGGGGGAAACAAAATCATGTAAACAGCTATCTAACAGTAAACGCATAGGTTTAGTAATGTGCAATGTATATACATAAGTTACTATAACTTAAAAAAGGATAATGAGATTAATGTTTTAATTTATCATTACAAGTGAGTGTTAATACCATACCCTCTACGATCTAGGTAAATACATATCTACATCTTATTGCGTTAATAATTATATAAGTGAAACTTATTACAATTCTACGACTAACAATACTTATACATATTGAAGTGAAACTTATTACAATTCTACGACTAACAATACTTATACATATTGATGTGCAGGAAGATTGTTTTCAATTTGCTTGACAGAAGTGTTTAATCAAATTAATTTAATTTGTTTTGTTTAGGCTAATCTCAACTACTAAAGTTGCCTTTTCTTACAAAATCTCAAAATCTAGATAACTGACAAATATCAAGCTTAAACTTTCATTTTTTTCTAAATTAATTTCAATTTTCTTACATAGCTCTCTTTGTTCTTTTAACAATGATCAGAAAATAACATAATAATAACAACCTTATGATATATATTCTTGAACAAAATATTGTCAACATTGATTAAAACGAAAGGTCACAGTGCTAGGCAGTACATATGTAAACCTGTACAAAAAGCATTAACAAAGTAGAGCTTATCACATAAGTGCATTATATTCCCAAACATTAGTTATAAATGACAGACAATTTTCATATTTTGATACCATTTCAAAGCACTGATGTCACAATCACAGTTAATGAACAGATAAAAATAAATCTTTGATTCATTCAATAGCAAAAGATTAGACTGATGTCACAGTACTGCGAAATCTTAAATATTTGAAACTTAAAGCATTGATATATACTAAAAGTAGATTTTTAATCAGCAGTTAAACGTTGATCATCAGACAGGAAAGACCCTGTAATCACATAGGAACTAAAGGTTTACCAGTAGTCATTAGTTCAAGTATCCTACGAGGCACAGCATGTGGTTTTAAATCCTTTACCATTTATCTTTATCAGTCTCATTCAAAGATTTAATCTACAATTTACCAAATAACCATTATCACTTTCATAGAGAGGCACATAACAAACTTGTATACCCATGTTATTGGAGTCTTGCAGTGTCATTTGAAGATTGCATCAGTTAGTACAGATAGCATTACAAATAGCATCAAACATACACAGATACCATGTAAAAATCAGAGGTCAATAGAAAGACGAGATTAATTAGAGATTAACTTTTCAGACAAGAAAAAATACAACATATCAAACAACATTGATGGCCATACTATGGGCGATACTTTTATAAAGGAGCATATACAAAGTAGACAAGGATACTGAGCTAAAGAAATCGCTAACATCATACCATCTTGATCAGCAGTTAAAATAAAGAATGAAAAATATTAATGAAAGTGCTGCAAATTATGTCATGTGGTTTGTTTTCAATTGCATATTAAAATCAATGAAAACAAAGAGTTCCAATGCTTTGGAGTTGTTGCCATACTGATGAGATACAAGATTCCTAGAACTCTAAAGTTAAATGTAAAATAATGTGGAGAAAAACATAGAGGTAGAATGAAGAGCCGGAACCACAAATTACTGAGCATTATTCAAAACGATGTTAGTTTTCAAAAAAACTTTTACTTGTGTCAGAGCACCTTACTTGTTTTTCCTATTTAGCATCTAAATCTCGTACAAAAATGAGACAATGCAAGAATAGGAGCTAGTGTATATATATTGATATTCATATAACCTAGAAAATACCATATAAGGAAGATTTATACTGTATAACAATTCTGTAGATCATAAAAATCTGACATGTATAAAATATTTTAATAAACATACGCGTAAAAATAAATAAAAAAAAGATTTCCAAGCAGGTACGGGGAAGAATGAAGAACTGAATGAGTTTCACTGAACTTTTTATCCTCCATCACACTCTACATCACAAAAGGTCGGTCTTGATGTGGATGATTCTGATAGTTGTTGACTTTCTCAGGTAACAGGTAGGACAACCTCATCCGACAAGTGAACAGTTCACGAAAGTGATACATCGCATTACCTCGGGTTTACTTTGTTTAATATAGAAGCATTATCTGCCGTTGATGTTTTTGTTACAATGTCTAAATCACTTATACGATAAACAAGCAAATAAAGACACAGTAGCATCCATTGAAAACGATAGAATATATAGACTGTCTTAACAAAGTTTTCACTACATGCTACATGTATAAGAAGGCTAAAGTTGCCAACAGTTTTCTCTCTCTTTTTTTCCGTCGGAAATGAGACAACACATCCAACATTTCGTCAGAGTAATCTCCCTTGGCAAGTGTTTACGTGTTGGCATTAAGAGTACATGGTGGTCTGGATGAACTGTAATAAAATTGGAAAATGCAGTAAATAAAAATGCTTTCTGTAAGTTATTAGTCACTGTAAATTAGTCTACCGAGTCACCGGTAAATCTTTAACCTAAACAGAAGAGATTAAACAGCTTAGGTGGGTAAATGAACCAATAACAGGACTAGAAATTTACAATTTTAGTAACAGAAAACAAAGTAAAACTCTGAACTTTTCAAGCAAAATGTGTAGATAACCAAGAGATGTTCACTGTATACGGAAACAGACAGAGCAAAATGTGTAGATAACCAAGAGATGTTCACTGTATACGGAAACAGACAGACAATCAAATCAAACATCTGACTTGAAATTAACTTTTGAAATTAATTTGTGAAAACAGATTAGCAGTAGCTGTAGGTACTCCCGATATATCCACTATATAAATACAAATAGAATCTTCCCCTAACTTGAGGGTGTGACAGAGAAATCTCTGACCCTTGTGGTAATTTTTTAGTTGTCTAATCTGAGGCTCTAGGGTTAGAGGACCGACAAATTTACCCTTGAGTTGAAGCTTTCTGTATTAAACCATTAAGTAGGGGGTGAATATATTCCAGTACTATGTTCAAAAGCACTGTTTTTGTTACTTTTTGTTTTAAACCTGATTTGCATATTGCCTCTCCCATCGATACCTGATTGTGATGTTATATACGACGTCATATCTGATAGTTCCCTTGTCATGTATTGTTTATTTTCACCTGCTATCTGTCATATCTAAGAGGGTGACAGAGAAATCATACCCTAGACCCTTAAGAAGATTCATGGATATGTAAAACAGGAGATATTTTTGCGAATGGAGGCAGAATACTTACATCATCAACTTCAAAGCCAGCCATATCCCCATGTTGCCTCGACTTGAACGAAGCTGCAACAACAAAAAGTCATATCCTTACAGTGTTAAACATAACTGAACAATTTCAAAATCAAGTATACCATATTGACAAAACTCAATCAATAATTAGAAAATTAGTTTCAACCAATTCATTCGTGTAATAAATATAACAAGGCAATCCATAGTCCCCCACCGGTAATGATTTCTATATCTAACAAACAGTACACTCATTTCAGGAAGCATAGGTCACAGTGAGGTCATAGTAACCTACTTCTTGCACTCAGCAATCCCAAGATGTCCTTGTACATCAAATCTGGTTACTCCAGGTGTATTATTAGTATAGAAGATATGCCCCGGACAAACTTTTTCAAAAGTAAAGGTCAAATGTCAAGTCATACGTCACAGTAACCTAATTCTTGCACTCTGTCATCCCAAGATGTCCTTGTACACCAAATCTGGTTACTCCAGGTGAAATAGTGTAGGAAAAAAGTCTCGGACAAACTTCTCGGATGGAGGGAGTGCAAACCTATAGCCCCCCCCCCCCCCCCCCCCCCCGAGAACCGATGGGGGAATAATAACAGTGTTGTTTGCATTCCAAGTTATTATTTATCTATCTGATGTTTTGCTTTGGCATTTTGATGGCCTTGTTCAGCATGTGAACCACCATAATACAAGGGTAACGTACCGAAAACCGGAACATAATACTGAATGAGTCTGTATGTTTGTACATAAAGGGCCATAACTCCATAAATTACGGCTGAACAATAGTGGTTATCAAATTTGTATCAGGGCAATAAACCTTTCTATGAAGTTTGAAGTTAATCCGTTGAAAACTTTTGAAAATTGAATAAAGGGCCATTTCTCCGTAAATTACAGTCCGATACTTACGGTTATCAATCTTGTCCGAGCTACCATGGCTACCATGGTTATAAAAACTACTGGAGGGCCATAACTCCATAAATTATGGTCCGCTAATTACGGTTATCAAACTTGTCTAAGCTATCATGGTAATGAACCTTCTTATGAAGTTTGAAGTTTATCTGTTCAAATCTACTCGAAATATCGAGCAGACACTGTTTGGGCAAATGAATAAAAGGCCATAACACTTTCAATTGCTGTCCTATAATTTCGGTTATTGAACTTGTCCGAGCTATCATGGCAATGAACTTTCCTCTGAAGTTTGAATTAATCTGTTGAAAACTACTCAAGATACATTGTATAGACCAGACACCCTTCGTGCCTGCCCCCCAACTCACGTGATAACATAACATGTCCTGTCATTTGATGGGCGTATAAGAACAGCTACTTACAAAGCATTGTCTTGAGACGGATTGCTGCTAAGATGAAATCCCCAAACTCAATCTGGCTCTCTTTGTTGGAGTAGCGCAAGACCAAAGCACTCAGCGACCTGTTACTTAGTCGGAAACCTGAAATACATTACATGGTATGTTGGTGAAATGATGTACATGCGTAACAGTATGAACAGATATCAATCATCAATGACCAGTTAAATTGAATACCTCTGACTTATAGAACTATCTGTGTTTTGCATTCTTTGATACTCATGTCAATATATTTAGGTGCCTTCACAAACTATGACAGCAGGTGTTAACACAGAATTTGCCAGCAGGCACCTTTATATAGATATTTATATATATGGGTCAAAGAAGTAATGTTAACAGAAGATTCCCCAACAAGAGGCCCAATGGGCCTGAATTACTCACATGGTATTAATTTCACACTTGTAATTTTAAGAGTGGACTGAAATACAACTACAGGCAGAATATCAGTGTTTGATTCATAAGAACCTATTTAAAGCTTTAAACATATGACGCCCGTGACCTTGAATGTCGAACAAGGACATCAGGTTGAACAGAGTTTATAGACTTCCAACCCAGCATGCTTCTAGCAAAATATCATTAGCCTGGACCTTTTGGTCATCCAGAACAAACCATTTAAAGATTTAAAGATTTACACCACATATTGACCACTATGACCTTGAATATGGGCGAAGGTCATTCATTTGAACAAACTTGGTAGCCCTTCATCTCAGCATGTTACTGGCCAAATATCATCACCCTAGCCCTCTCGGTTATTCAGAAGAAGTTGTTTAAAGGTTTAAACATATTTGCCCCTGTGACATTGAATATAAGTCAAGGTCGTTTATTGGAACAAACATGGTAGCCCTTCATCCCAGCATGTTACTGGCCAAATATCATCACCCTAGCCCTCTCAGTTATTTAGAAGAAGTTGTTTAAAGGTTTAAACATTTTTGACCCCTGTGACCTTGAATATAAGTCAAGGTCATTTATTTGAACAAACTTGGTAACCCTTCATTTCAGCATGTTACTGGCCAAATATCATCACCCTAGCCCTCTCGGTTATTCAGAAGAAGTTGTTTAAAGGTTTAAACATATTTGAACCCTGTGACCGTGAAGATAAGTCAAGGTCATCTATTTGAACAAACTTGGTAGCCCTTCATCCCAGCATGCTACAGGCCCAATATCAGTACCCTGGGCCTTTAAGTTATTGAGAAGAAGTTGTTTGAAGATTTTAAAGACATCTGACCCCAGTGACCTTGAAAGTGGGTCAAGGTCATTCATTTGAACAAACTTGGTAGCCCTTCATCCCAGCATGCTACAGGCCCAATATCAGTACCCTGGGCCTTTTGGTTATTGAGAAGAAGTTGTTTGAAGATTTTAACATATTTGACCCCTGTGACCTTGAAAGTGGGTCAAGGTCATTTATTTGAACAAACTTGTTAGCCCTTGATCCCAGCATGCTACTGGCCAAATATCATCTTCCTAGGCCTTTTGGTTACCGAAAAGAAGTTGTTTAAAGAAAAAAGTTGACGCCGGACGGACAGACGGACAACGGACCCCGCACCATAACAGGTGACCTAAAAATTGTCAAAATATACCCAAAAGTGTATTTCCCTATATAAACTATAGTAAAATTTACCCCCTCCCCAAGGGAGAACGGATAGCTCAGGGTCCTGAAATTTACAATTTAAATAAAGCCTCTGATGATCTTTCTTTCCATGTAGAGAAAATGACTGTAGAACCTCTGAGTCTGGAGAAGAAGATTTTTGAAATATTGGTTAATTTTACCTTCGGGGCCCCGCCTAGCCCCAGGGGTTGGGGTAGGAATTCCAATTTTACAATTTTGTAGCCTCATCTACCAAGGATGATTCTGACCAAGTTTGAAAAAATTCAATCCACTGGTTCTTGAGAAAAAGTTGAAAACTTAAAAGGTTTACGCACGACGCAAAGCTCAGGTGACCTAAAAATCTACAGGTAATACAGGCAATGTCAGCAGCGCCCACACAGACCATGTCAGTAAGCACCAACACAGGCTAGTATGCCAACAGGTATCTGTACATACAATGTCGGCAGGCATCCACACAGACAAGGCCAACAAGCACCCACACAGGCCATGCCAGCAGGCATCTGCACATACTCTATGTCAGCAGCCTACCGATACAGGTTATGCCAACAGGCATCTTCATATACTATGACAGCTGGCACCCATACATTACAATGTCAGCAGGCACCCACACAGAAAATCTCAGCAGAAACCTACACAGACAATGTCAGCAGGAACCCACACAGAAAATCTTAGCAGGAACCCACACAGGCTTCCAAAGACAAGGACAATTAGCACCCACACAGATTGGGCCACCAGTCATGGACAGCTTACCACTCATATGCAGTGCCTGTCTCAGTTCATAGGAGCTTAGGCATCCACTGCTGTCAGCATCTCTCTCCTTGAACACACCCTGAAAGCACAAAGAGTCAAGTTTATACACTGACTACCTCAGGTAAAAGGTTATGTCACAGCTTCAATAAACTAAGATCTGAAAAGTTGGACTGCCACTAATATTCAGTATTTGAAAGCCTCAATATCATTCTTTTCTTGTTGAAAATATTACAAGTTATATATTGCAAGAAACATTAAGGATTGATGAAGCAATATCATACTAAGTTTGATACACTTCAAAAATCCCATTCAGATGGGTTGTCAGCTACAGGAGGTCCTGTGTGGGTAAATGATTAGTCTACGTTAAAAAAGGTGTGTGTGAAAATTAAGCTATTCTGGTAAACTCTGTCAATACATCAAAGATATTTGACTAAACTTTAGCTTGGTGACAGCTACTTAAAATGGGTCGACTTGAAGTACAATACCATTTTTTGGATTATTTTGACATTGATTTTATAGGTGCTGGAAAGATCAGAAAGGTTTTGATGCTGGATAATTAACCATAATGTTTCATCCTTTACATTGTGAATTATTGCAGAAAACCAGTGAATTATACATATTAATATTGCTGCCTTCAAAACCCAAGATTTATCATTATCCTTGTTTGTGTTGTAAAAGCCAACTCTACTGACATCAAGGGCCGGGGCTAGATCTTTTTAGACATCAAGGGCCGGGGCTAGATCTTTTCAGACATCAAGGGCCGGGGCTAGATCATTTTAGACATCAAGGGCCGGGGCTAGATCTATTTAGACGTCAAGGGAGGCTTGATCTTTTTAGACATCAAGGGGGGCTTGATCTTTTTAGAAATCAAGGGGGGCTAGATTTTTTTAAACATCAAGGGGGGCTTGATCTTTTTAGACAGAGTTTACCCGAATGAAGAAAAAGAAACCACATCTTTTACAGCCATGAATGGTTTTCCTTTATCATAGGATTTTGGTAATATTAAGTATTACTGTAACAATGTCATCAGTTATTTTCAGTAAATTCTTACCTTCCATTTCCTTAGGTCGTTCCACAAGTCCTTGAACTCATCAAACCCAAGCTTGCCAGACATGTCACCCTTGTCATAGTTAAGGTTAATCAACTGCATGGGTTTTTTCTTAATACCAATATATTGTTGGAAAATTATCCATATTATGTGTTTCCTCACATATGTTTATTTTGTAGAACCACCAGGTAAGTAGTTTGTACATAACAATCTTTGTAATATTAATAGTGATAATAGTTTGAGGTTCTTTAATATACTGCTTTATCACAACCTAGTTTGTAGGTCATCTCAAAGAGGTTTACACATTTCTAAACATTTTCTTCAGGTTGGTAAGTATGGATTATGAAAAGTTCTTCTTTACACAACCAATAAAATTGTTATATGAGACGTTTCGATGACTAGTAAGAAATGTACACTGTCACGGTCATCAGACAAAACACCTTCATTTGTCTGATGAAGGGGACAGTGTACATATCTTACTAGTCATCGAAACGTCACATAGAACAATTTTATTGGTTGTGTAAAAAAGAACTTTTCATAATCGGTTCATAAATTATTATCCGCGGTTATAGGGCCTTTGCAACCAGCCAATATATTTCTCAACATCCAGTGCTGCCATTTTGGTGCTCACAGCAAGCATTCAAAAATTCCAGCACTGCCCATGCAATCATTTTCTCATTTACAGCTGAGTAGACTTGAACAAGCAGAGTAAAACAACTTGTTCAAAGATACAACACAGTGCCGGGATGTGACTCGAACCTGCAACCCTTCAGTCACGAGCCCGGTGTCCTACCACTAGACCACCGCGCCTTGTAACATAAGAACCACCAGGTAAAGGATACCAGGAGGTGTTATCATTTGTAAAGCACCATGGTCACATGTGCCTGTACTGCTAAATTGTAATAGGTCAATTAGCTTTTTATCCATTTTAGATATAACATAGCATTTGATTAGTCATTGGAAATAAATTGCAACTGTAATACCACTGTATTACCAATAAAACTCAGTTTGTGACAGTGTAATAACAATATACTGCAGCAATTCTAGAATCACAGTGGGGTCATCTCGTTGTATCTTTATATGTACATACAGGTACATATAAGACAAATGTGTGCATTGGAAAACTATGTTGAAGCAAAATATATGTTAATAACTGGAAATGAACATAAATTAAGAAATGTTGCTGAATTTGTATATTCAGCTTTTGAAGCAAGATCAAATTTTATTATATCTGTGACATCACAAATTTAGTATTATTACATCGGAAGTCAGTGCTATATATTAGTAAATTGTACGTTATAAGGTACTCTGCAGAAATTGTTTTTGATGTAAAAATTGTGTGAATATGGTTATTATGTACTGTGCAAATTGTACTATGGGCTAGTTGGCCTTGAAATACTTAATAAAATATCTTGAACTTGAACAGTATTAATACAAGCTAGTATTCAGTACATTTTCTACAATAGGATTTTTTCAAATAATGTACTATATAATCCAGATAATGAAAGTACAGGCACAAGGAAAAATAACGAAAGTACAGGCACAAGGGAAAATAATGAAAGTACAGGCACAAGGGAAAACCTAACTTAATATCTTTTTCAGTTATGAATGCATGCAATTTAGTAAAATCCTTTTCACACCCTCCTCCCACAACCCCAAGTGTTAAAACACTTCTGCAATACTATTGGTCAGTATTGGTGTTCTATATAGCTAATTATAGCTAGCTAGGTGTAAGGATACATCGTGCATGGCCACCATACTGCGACAACACTCCACGCTGAATCCAGAAAACTTGAAATCTGAGAAGAAGACAAAAACATTGATGAGATTCATGTTAATATGAAACAAGTAAAATATTGTAACATTGGACAAGATATCACAGTTTTACAGTTCAGTCATACTAATGGTAATGTTACTGGTATAGATAAAAGACACTTTTACATCGGAATAGTTACATTGGTCGGCAAACCCACTGACATAGGGTATAGTTGGGAATATTCCAACCAATGTAACGACCCTGAAATAAAAGTGAAGAGTCTATTGTTTAATTATGTTGTTCAAATCATGTTTAACATTTATTTAGGTCTTCCCTTAACGAAACCTTAACACAAAACTATTACGAGGTAGACAACACTCGATAACACTTAACCTTCCTTCACAAGTCATCCTTTATGATGTAATGACATCTGAATAACTTCAAAGAGTAATACTTTGTAATCATAGGCTGATAAATGCCATAGAGAGTAATACATACCCTGGTACCTTAAGTAGACAGGTGAACTATAAAAGTTAGCCAAGATAAACACTATCCATGTTTGTTGTAATCGTACATTATATTTCATATCTTGCACAGTTTTTTGAAATTTCCTGTATAGCACTATCATAAGTGATAAACATAAGGTTTCTGTTTTATAAAAATAACGATTATGCTTCAAGTCATTTTGTGGTACTGTCCATATTTTTATAGTATGCAGATCAAAGATGAATTAATTTTAGATTGGTTTAATTACCAAAAACATGAATATTGCCTACCTTGGCTGTCAATTAAGAAACTGGTAAAGTCAACCCCTTAATCCTATGGAATGGAATCCTCACATCTCAATATTGTTTTCTTTGATCCAAATTGTTCAGGTTTGTCATACAGGATTCTGTCTAGTGATGTCATGTGTACAATTCGACATTTTAGATCAAGGAAAACTACTTTATTGTGAACTTTTTTTACCCTTTCCTATACTTATACAGGAGCTCATATTAATATAAATTAATAGTTTGGTTATCAAACATACCCAAAAATTACAAGTATTTCTGAAATTTAAAACACTTCTATCAAATAATTGAATAATAGAAAATAATAACAATGTTATACATAATTATATCAATCATTGAATACTTTGTACAATTACAGAGTGATCCAGGTTCAGGAGTTAACCTCAGCAGGTCACATGCAAAAGCCGACTACTGATCAATCAAAGGGGGATAACTTGTGTAAATAAACATGCAGTCCATATATACCCAGTTATATTTTAGTTGCAATATCTAAATCAGTAATGAATAATTATCCTCAAAACAAATCAGTAACAAGTTATTTGCTCCTTAATCTGTTGTTTGATTTATAAAATTTTGAAGTACTGAAGAAAATTTGCTAGTCCAGCAAACAACTTGTATGATTTTAATGAGAAGCTACACTTTTGTCAGTTTGGAGGCCTACATGTCAGTCCTTTAGAGAGAGAGAAGATGTGGATGACTGGCTATAACCACCGGTCATTAAGGGGAGGCTACTCTAGGTTTGGTGGCAGCAGCTTTCAAGTCTCATGCAAGATAACAGCATCTATTACCAGTCTTCACTATAAACAAAATATAACTATCATACGTTTTGAAACTTAATGAATCAAATCGTTTAAAAATGAAAAAAAGGACATCTTCAGCAAAATTAAAAAGCTTAAAGAGTGAAAACAGTATCACACAATTTATATGCTTCAACTCAATATCACACAATTTATATGCTTCAACTCAATATCACACAATTTATATGCTTCAACTAAATATCTTTATTTTACTTTCTTATGATCTGAAACTTGCGTTTATTTTCCTTTTCATAGAAGAATTTTGGACTAAGAAAAGCAGGCTAACAACATACTAATGATCTAATGTATGTCACTTTCAATTTACAGTTGGATATATGTAAAGGTTTGTTAAATTGAATTAAAAATGCAATTAAGTTGATTGATAAATTAGCACTTTCTATATCATTTAAAGCTAGGGTTTGGTACTCTTAACACTATGACTAGCCTAGGAAAGATGTATCATTTATTTTATGAAATTTTACTTCAATATTGTGTAGTCATATAACTAATGAGATATATATATAATTTTTTGGTTAGTAATTGATGAATATTCATTTGTATAATCATTTGTTAATTTTGGATATATAGCAAATATATGTACACCATCCTCTAACTGATATTTAACTGATATTCACACCTTTCTCAACTATGGTTATACCAGAATTTCAAATGTTCTAAAATGAAAGCTACGAAAGAAAAAATAAATAAACCAGGGATGTATAAATCGTTGAATTTGTACATCCCTGTTTAAACCAGCAGTGGAGATAACGGTGCACCCTCATACAATACCCATGTAAAGTAAGTGTATATACGACACCATTGTATACATACTTGGATCTGTAAAGCAAACAGGTACATCATACAGGTGCAAGGTGTAACAATAATTGTGAGGATATGCATATATTACATAAATACCTTTCTAACCTAGTTACAGCTCCATCAAGAGGCAGTGACCTCATGACCTGAGTATTTAACAAGGTCACAACCCCTCTATTCTTGCTGATAGAGAGGCTGTCACCTTGTGACCCACATATACAAGGCTGACATTGGTCCACCAATGACCAAGCCAGGTTAAAGGTTAGTGCTGGCATGATTTGTGATGAGTAGTGATACAATAATGATACAATAAATGATGATACACTTCTTCTCCTTACCTAAGTTACCGTCTTAGAGGATAAAAGTCAAAGAAGACAAAACAAAGACAAAATCTCATTAGTATACACAAATCATACACCTGTAACAGGTAACCCAACACAGCAGGCAACACGTGTATAGTCAACAGGTACCTAAAACAGGTAACCCAACACAGCAGGCAACACGTGTATAGTCAACAGGTACCTAAAACAGGTAACCCAACACAGCAGGCAACACGTCTATAGTCAACAGGGACCTAAAACAGGTAACCAACACTGCAGGCAACACGTGTATAGTCAACAGGGACCTAAAATAGGTAACCCAACACTGCAGGCAACACGTGTATAGTCAACAGGGACCTAAAATAGGTAACCCAACACTGCAGGCAACACGTGTATAGTCAACAGGGACCTAAAACAGGTAACCCAACACTGCAGGCAACACAACAGGTAACTGAACCTGTAAGCTACAGGCTAACCAAAACAATCTTCCCCATGAAAAAAAACATAGAAAGAAAAAAAATTACTACCATAAAAAGATTATATAATAAACAAGAGGCCCATGGGCCTTAACGGGCACCTGAGTCTACAGTATTTTTTTTTTTTGTTGAAATATGTGCCAATTTGAGTAAACAAGAGGCCCATGGGCCTTAACGGACACCTGAGACTATAGTATTTATTTTTGTTGTTGAAATATGTACCAATTTGAGTAAACAAGAGGCCCATGGGCCTTAACGGACACCTGAGACTATAGTATTTATTTTTGTTGTTGAAATATGTACCAATTTGAGTAAAAAATATTATAATGTTAACTTAACTTTGTCAGGACCATGAGCTGATCATTCCTAGACCAATTTTAAGTGAGATCGGCCTATTAGAACTTAGTAGCAAAATAGCGGCCATGGCAGCCAAATCGTATTTCTGATTGACCCGAAAAATAACAACACTTTGTCAGGACTATGAGGCGATCATTCCAACCAACTTTTAGTTCAATCGGTCCAACAGAACTTGACTTTAAGTTTGAAATAGGTTTTCAAAATGGGGGCCGTGGCGGCCATATTGGATTTCTGATTGACCTAAAAAATAACAACACTTTGTCAGGACCATGGGACGATCATTCCTACCAACTTTCAGTGCAATTGGTCCAGCAGAACTTGACTTTAAGTTTGAAATGTAAAATGTTAACGGACGACGGACGAAAACGGATAGCAATAGGTCACTTGAGCTAAAGCTCAGGTGACCTAAAAATAGTATAATGTTAACTTAACTTTGTCAGGACCATGAGCTGATCATTCCTAGACCAATTTTAAGTGAGATCGGCCTATTAGAACTTAGTAGCAAAATAGCGGCCATGGCAGCCAAATTGTATTTCTGATTGACCCGAAAAATAACAACACTTTGTCAGGACCATGAGACGATCATTCCTACCAACTTTCAGTTCAATCGGCCCAGCAGAACTTGACTTTAAGTTTGAAATAGGTTTTCAAAATGGGGGCCGTGGCGGCCATATTGGATTTCTGATTGACCTAAAAAATAACAACACTTTGTCAGGACCATGGGACGATCATTCCTACCAACTTTCAGTGCAATTGGTCCAGCAGAACTTGACTTTAAGTTTGAAATAGGTTTTCAAAATGGGGGCCGTGGCGGCCATATTGGATTTCTGATTGACCTAAAAAATAACAACACTTTGTCAGGACCATGGGACGATCATTCCTACCAACTTTCAGTGCAATTGGTCCAGCAGAACTTGACTTTAAGTTTGAAATGTAAAATGTTAACGGACGACGGACGACGGACGACGCCGGACGAAAACGGATAGCAATAGTTCACTTGAGCTAAAGCTCAGGTGACCTAAAAATAGTATAATGTTAACTTAACTTTGTCAGGACCATGAGCTGATCATTCCTACAAAGTTTCAGTTCAATCGGTCCAGCAGAACTTGACTTTAAGTTTGAAATGTAAAATGTTAACGGACGACGGACGACGGACGACGCCGGACGAAAACGGATAGCAATAGTTCACTTGAGCTAAAGCTCAGGTGACCTAAAAATAGTATAATGTTAACTTAACTTTGTCAGGACCATGAGCTGATCATTCCTACAAAGTTTCAGTTCAATCGTCCTAGCAGAACTTGACTTTAAGTTTGAAATAGGTTTTCAAAATGGCGGCCGGGGCGGCCGTATTGGATTTCTGATCGACCCAAAAAATAAAAACACTTTGTCAGGACCATGAGGCGATCATTCCTACCAACTTTCAGTTCAATCGGCCCAGCAGAACTTGACTTTAAGTTTGAAATGTAAAATGTTAACGGACGACGGACGAAAACGGATAGCAATAGGTCACTTGAGCTAAAGCTCAGGTGACCTAAAAATGTACAGGTGCACTATTTCAAGTGTTTTACATGTAATTAGACTTCATTGTCAAGTTTTCAAGGTATTTGTGTTAAAACTAGTAGAACTCTAGCAGATGTTATTTTTGAACTTTGCAAAAGGGGCATAACTCAAAAACATAAAAACAAAACATGGATGGAAATATCTGGAATAGACAATTTGACGTGTCTGAACCATTCACCCAGAGTAACCATTCACCCAGAGTTATGGCATCTAAAAGTCGATGTAGACTTTTCTTTATATTCTAAATACAACTTCTGGTTCTTTTGTGTTTTACTTTGGCAAGTTTTGCGGTATATAAGGTCATATTTTGACTGTATGAAACTTCTACATGTTGTTTAAATAATGGGAATCTAGCTTGGTTACAGAATGAAGTGAATTTCTGAAAATTCAGAAATGAGAGTTTTTGTATACATCATGTACGTGTACTGCTGAAGTTAATTAGCACAACATATCAAACTGGTACAAAGCACTCCCACAGAAAGTTAGCTGGCCAAAAGTAACCAAAGTAAAAATGAAATTAATTGGAAACAGAAAACAGTCATCAAACAAAAGAAAGCCAGGTAACGCATTAGGTATATAGCAGTATGGTTTATGATGATTGGTGGTCATTTTATACGATTAAATTATAATGATTTTATTTATTATAACCTTTCATTTATTTGAAGATTGGGGGAGGTGGGGGGGGGGGGGGCGTAATTTTAGGAAAGAGATGCAGGCTGCATTTACTTGTGGGTGCTGATGAGGGTAGGTGGTGGTGTTCAGAAGATTTTTTATCAAACAACACCAAATAAATCATTTAAATAATGGTTAAGACTCGGTCAACTTTAACACAAAAATACAGCAAATAAAATAATCTATCACTCCTGTGTCATGTTAACAGTGAAATCTCAACCGGTGGGTAAGAGTTTTGGAGATTGGCTCATGGCACTTATCCTGAGGGTTAAATTTCCCTGTCTTTATCACAAAGGAGTGAGAGATTATTTTTCTCCCACACTTCCTGTCAAAAAAATTATGTTGTGATTGTGAATCCAATGCATCACCATAAAATGAGTGACGAACTTGATCATGTGAACATGGTTACACAGCATAAAGTGATGACACCGGGAAGTACTAGGTAAAGACAGGCTTAACTTTTCCCCAGGAAAACATATCTGATAAGTGTGGGAGAAACACCTCTGACAAACAGCTACAGAGGCGATACTCATATTTTTGTAGAACAGGCAGCATACCTTATGCAGATTGATATCAATGGAGGTAATAAAAAAACATTTATTATCAAAAAGCTTTTAAGTGTGAATAGAAGCACAAACAGGTTATCCACAATGGTACAAAACCCAACAATTGTGTTTTAAAAATCCAAACAGGATCAAATTTTTCAAATGTGCTACTCAATCCAGACTGAACTTACTTTCTACAACTGATGCTAAATACAAAATAAATTAAAACAATACATACAACTACAATGAAAACAAAATCAGAAAAACGAAAAAGAAAGTTTTTTACATAAAGTATAAAAACAAAACTTGAATAATGTAATTATAGTATAAAGTAATAAAATATCTGTAAAGTAACATTCAAAAATATTTACAACGAAAGTAAACCATTCATGTAAGTGAGATTAAATATGAAACTGAAAGTGCGTAAACTATAAAAACACAAAAAATAATACAAAGACAGAAACAGCTAGTTTCAGATTGATAAAATGTGCTTAAAGACATTTATTAGGGAAGAACGAGAGAATATCAGCCTAATCCCAGAAACAGAGACAGAGCCTGAGGAATAATGTGTAGCCTACCTTTGGTAAAGACCGCGTTCAGGATGCCCTGGAGTTCATAAGCATCCACTTCCAGGTCCTCCCCAGCCACACGACGGAAACTTCCCTTCAGAGCCGCTTCCTGTTCCTGTTCTTCATCCGTGGGCTCAATCTCCTCCTGGAGGACACAAATAAACAGGGTGAGATGTCGACTATCAGCACCAACACTTACAACGGTCTTGTGTCTGATGTAACACTCCCTACAGCTACTCATACTGTTAACCACAAACAGGGTGAGATGCCGACTATCAGCACCAACACTAACAACGGACTTGTGTCTGATGTAACACTACCTACAGCAACTCATACTGTTAACCACAAATAACCAGGGTGAGATGTCGACTATCAGCACCAACACTAACAACGGGCTTGTGTCTGATGTAACACTACCTACACCTACTCATACTGTTAACCACAAATAAACAGGGGTGAGATGTCGACTATCAGCACCAACACTAACACCGGTCTTGTGTCTGGTGTAACACTACCTACACCTACTCATACTGTTAACCACAAATAAACAGAGTGAGATGTGGACTATCAGCACCAACAATAACAACGGTCTTGTGTCTGATGTAACTCTACCTACAGCTACTCATACTGTTAACGACAAATAAACAGGGTGAGATGTGGACTATCAGCACCAACAATAACAACGGTCTTGTGTCTGATGTAACTCTACCTACAGCTACTCATACTGTTAACGACAAATAAACAGGGTGAGATGTGGACTATCAGCACCAACACTAACAACGGGCTTGTGGCTGATGTAACACTACCTACAGCTTCTCATACTGTTAACCACAAATAAACAGAGTGAGATGTGGACTATCAGCACCAACAATAACAACGGTCTTGTGTCTGATGTAACACTTCCTACAGCTACTCATACTGTTAACCACGAATAAACAGGGTGAGATGTGGACTATCAGCACCAACACTAACAACGGGCTTGTGTCTGATGTAACACTACCTACACCTACTCATACTGTTAACCACAAATAAACAGAGTGAGATGTGGACTATCAGCACCAACACTAACAACGGGCTTGTGGCTGATGTAACACTACCTACAGCTTCTCATACTGTTAACCACAAATAAACAGGGCGAGATGTGGACTATCAGCACCAACACTAACAACGGGCTTGTGGCTGATGTAACACTACCTACAGCTTCTCATACTGTTAACCACAAATAAACAGAGTGAGATGTGGACTATCAGCACCAACACTAACAACGGGCTTGTGTCTGATGTAACACTACCTACAGCAACTCATACTGTTAACCACAAATAAACAGAGTGAGATGTGGACTATCAGCACCAACAATAACAACGGTCTTGTGTCTGATGTAACACTACCTCCAGCTACTCATACTGTTAACCACAAATAAACAGGGGTGAGATGTCGACTATCAGCACCAACACTTACAACGGTCTTGTGTCTGATGTAACACTACCTCCAGCTACTCATACTGTTAACCACAAATAAACAGAGTGAGATGTGGACTATCAGCACCAACACTAACAACGGACTTGTGTCTGATGTAACACTACCTACACCTACTCATACTGTTAACCACAAATAAACAGGGAGAGATGTGGACTATCAGCACCAACACTAACAACGGACTTGTGTCTGATGTAACACTACCTACAGCTACTCATACTGTTAACCATCTCACTTTTTTCTTGCAAAATTCTGAATTTGTGTTCATTGTATGTTGGACTTGTACTCTGCTCTAAGGAAAATTACTTGCTGTTTTATAGAAATTCTTGGTCTTCATACATTTATGATTCCCTGCCATTTGAAAAGATTTGCCCTAAATATTTCTATTGTATATGTTACAACTAAACCAAGTAAAGTTACAGATAATTGATCAATGAAACTGCCAGCAATATAAGTCTTCATCTTGTTTCTGAAATGAAACTGACTTGCATTATAAAAAAGTACTAATTATACAGTTAACAGACCCACATGTGTGGTGTGGTGGTGGGTTGTGAAATGCTCCAACTTGTGAAGAGAAGTGCAACCCACTGTAAGTGGTATTTATCAAAAGTTTGTAACAGTGATATTACATTCTTTGATCAACAAACTATATCTGCACCGTAAGTAGCCATGTTCCACCTAATTAGTGCCCAGAGAGCTTAGCAATATGGGAAAATAAGAAAGATTGCAAAGTCTAAAACAATTCTTAAAAAAACACCAAAACAGACAATTTTTGAGTCTGTAAATAACAGTGAAAAGATGAGACCCTCAGACTATGAAAATGATACAAGGTGTTTATAGGGATGGGGGCACGTATAAGATGGAACCTCTGCTGTACGGCAAAGCTCACCAACTACAGACTTACTGTACTTCATGGCTATTTTTATCTTTCTATAAATGGCATGCAAATTAAATACAGAATTTCAAATATAAACAAATGAATATTCACATACAGCATTTATAATTGAACTAATAACTGAGTTATCTATTTAAAAAACAACAACATTTAAATACAAAATATTTGTAAATTAAGAAACTGAACTATTTCACATTCAAAATAATTTGTCCTCCACACAATACAAATTATTGCAAATAAAATCTGCTTATAACAAAACCATGAACAGATACTCACAAAAATCCAATTCATTAAAATATCGCATATATTTCACAAAATGCAATCAACAATAATATTTAAGCATGATCAAATTATTAAAATTACATTCTTTTTAAAGTTATAATAACCAAACTAGCATAGCATGCCTGATTCTATGAACATTGACCTAAGATATTCTGGTGTGTATGCCGCCTTCCAACATCTTTATTCAGTTTTCTATTTAAATATTTTTTTACTGTATTAATAATCCATATATTTTTTCTAAATCAGTTCTCATGCATGACAAAAAATAAAATTATCATGTCATATGATGATTTAGGATTTGACTCGAATAATATATTTCACACCAAAATAGTAAAAACACTGTCATGCAAAAATACAGTGCTATACCATGCATATACAGTGAATTATTATCTATATGAGAAAAGTTATCCTCATCAAAATCTTGAGTAAATAGTTTCCCTCTAGCTGTATTTAACCCCTTTATAGATAGGAAAACCAGACATTATATTATTTTAAGATTCCAATATTTATAACCATGTACTGTAAAAAGTAGATTCATCAAGCAATAAATAGATAGGATTTGAGTTTCGAAACAAAGTCTTTCAAAAATGCAATATTTTACAGCAAAATAATTGGATCAGTTTGACAAGTGAAATTTCAAGTTAATTACATCAGAGATTTCTGTAGTGTAGCTAGGAGAACGATTCAATAGGACCTCACGACTCAACAAAATGTTTTAACAATTTGTTTAGGCAAAATTAATTCCTACAAAAATCTCTGAGCAAAAACAAAAATTGATAGCATTAGATTATCTCAGTAGCCTTTGAACTGTCAGTAAGCAAGAACTAATTCAATGAATAAAAAAAAGGAATGAAATTCATACAGAAGGTCTGTTGGTTAGAATTTTCAGAAATAGCTCCTCTTGTTGCAGTAGTAAGAGTGGAGCCAGGTCTACATATTAACCGACTTTACCAGGAAAATCAAACAGCTAATTAACCTGCTGCGTAGTCTGTGTGGTCCTTTAAAACATTTAAGTTATATGTTAAATCTGTAACAAAACAAGAGAATCATGTGTATATCCTAGTACATGTATAAGTACCATTCACAGTGTGGAGGAATGGAGTATGTAGCTAGCAATGGAGGTTCGCAATATAATTGGAGTGAGTGACACAGAGGGAACTGTTTCTACGTCTAGCATCATCCCTGCTTTTTCTATATCATACACATTCGGGTGGCAATGTTGAAGGTAGTGGTCCCATTTGTGGTGTTGGAGTTAACTGTATTTTAGAATATGGAGGATTCATGTTGTTCTGTTCCGATATAGTACAGGGTATTTATATTGTTCTACAGGAAATTCTCCAGAATGTTTCTATACTTGTACTGATGTGATGAAGAACCCCTAACAACTGCACTAATGATATGTTTCTCTGGTCTCTGAAATTAGTCATTACTTTGAAAGTCTTTACTGTTTTAGAAAAGAAATTGATATTAAATATTGATCCCTGATGTCAATAACACTTCTAATTCTAAATAATCCAATAGATAAGCAAAATATCAAGCTAGCAGCAATTTTACACTTTTCCTGCTGTTAGACTATTTTTGACACTTTCTAGCTCTACTTTCCGTTTTGTACACATCCTTATATGACTGTTTGTATCAAGGTTGACCGAAGTATTGGAAAGGTTCTAGCAAAGGAAAGAAAGCAGGATTGTCTAGATCTGGCCATCTTTTCTAGACCAACACTTTACTAAAAGATATAGATTTCACAGTAGGCCTATAGCTCCAAACCAAAAACATATATATATACTAGGCTAAAACTCTGGACTATATACTTATCCAAGAGCTGAAGAACGCACACTAATCCAAGAGATTGAGACCATATATCGGTCCCAACATACTTGCCCTAGTGGTCTAACAGTAAGAAAAAACTCTGGGCCAAATTTAGCTGACAAGGTGTATACAATTTCCAATAGAGGTCAATACCTCTAGGCCACACAGAGTAGGCCAAGATATTATATCATACGGTAGTATAATGAGTAAGCTAAATGTTCTGGACCCTATTACAGACTCTAGGCCAAATAGACCAAGAGCAGCTGCTAGGTCATATTGAGTAGGCCAAGAGCCCTTTTGGGGACAGTTTGAGTAAAACGAGAGTTCTAGGTAGTATACCGAGATAAAAAGCTCTGGACCAATTGGAGCAGGCCAAGAGCTCTTTAACTCAGCAGGTATGGAGCCCTATAGGCCACATAAATATTTCACAGGTCATGAGTTTCAGGCCAACAGTATCTAGACCATACACAGTAGAAGAGAGAGCAGAGGAAGACTAGCATCAGGTAGATATAAACATGTGTTACATTGAGAGCGTTGTATAGAACCTCTAAGGCCTCTCGCCGCGACATATGGTCATAGTTCCTAGTGGGCGCCTTTCGCCTAGCACTAGAAGGTGCTGTATGACCAGACCTTGATGAAGGAGGATAATGATGAAACTTTTGAACGCCCTTCAAACATAAATCAAGACAGAAAAAATAAAACATTAATAAACAATTGAGGTTCAATACTGCCCTAACACAAGACAGTGCTTCACTGAAATTCTGTACATGTAGGTGGAATTTTTAAGTATAGATCTATATGTTACTTATTAAAATCAATTTCTTGGTGTATGGCGCTTGAAATTTCATTTCCTTCTCGTAAAATAAATCTTTCAAACTCTGATTATATTTTTTCCGGACTCAACTGTAAAGATTAAATAGGATCCAATGTACACTTTAACCCTTTTACCACTAGACCATAATGGACTTGTCCAAATCAATACATGACTGATTCTATTAAAGTAATATAGGGATGATAGGGTTAAGGCTTATACTACAGATAGATGTACAAGTTCTCAGGATATACAACAGTAATATCTGTGAACGTTCCTCGTCTCATTATTATGGTTTATGCTTAAAAAATAAAATTAATGTAATGTAGATGCCTGCTTATTAATGCACTTTTAAATTATATTATATCAATTTTGAAACAATTAACCACACGTAATGAAGTATGCCATTACAAGTGTAATATTGTAATAGAAGCATGCTTAGGAAATTTATAATTTATGTATACATGTATAAGATTAATTACTATTTTAATTAGTAACAGGAAGATCTGATCAGCGTAGAATGTGTGTGTGCACATGCACCTAGACATACATATTTTATACAAACTGTCACACGCACAATGCCTTTTTCCAAAATTATTTTCATGCTTGCTAAATAGAAGCCAACCATACAAAAATAATCAGACTAAAATCTCCTCCCGATGGATCTAGGGTCAGTTTACGTCCTTAGTCTAGCTATGTTTGAGTAGGAAGTATTTTATCTCCCACATCATTGTAGGTATAGAATGCAAGTTTCTCACAAATCTGTTGGTAATAGACAGTGATTTCTCCAATAGACTATAAAAAAAAATCCAATACCCATGCACAAAGAATAGCGATTTTCTCCCAACTTTTGTGTGCATGAATTACTCATATATGAAGGCATTATTGATTTTGTTTGGTACTTTTTTTTGCCAAAACACCTATAATATTTTGTCCATAGGTCTAAACCTAGATCCCTCAGAGTTCTCACAAGCATACACACAAAAAATCCTGATATGGTATATATAGCTGCAAACATAAGTCAGACTTCATCCAAAATATGTCTGCATTAACTTATTATAAGTACAAGTCTGTTAAGTCTTTATGAAATGGATTAGGAAGTTACATGATAACAATTAGAACATACATCCTCAACATGAAGGACACTCAATGAATATTCATATGAATTGCATTCATGACATACACACTCAAATAACAAATCATGCATATTCAAATATCAAATTATACATATTCAAAGACATTAGCATATCATTAAATGTAGGATTCACTGCACCCGTGCACTTCCTCATGTAAACAAGCCAACCTCACACAGGTCAATGAAAGACAGACAACAGAAAGGGAGAAAGACAGACAACAGAAAGGGAGAAAGACAGACAACAGAAAGGGAGATCACTCCAGTCTGAAACAGAGTGTTAAGTTGTAAGTAGTAAACTTACTCTGGCAGCTGCCTTCTGTGGTAAATCAAATCATAAACAGAAAATAAGACAAAATCTAACATAGGCGTGAAAAATAAGACATAAAATCTGGAAAAAAAACCACTGAACAAGACAATATCTTGAGAAACTAGATTGCATGGGATAAATACTAAATCTATAGACGAGAATCTATTGGTAATAAGACCGAATCTACAAAAATGTACACAAAAGCAATAATGATAAAAGCAAGATGAGATAAGCAAGATAAGATAACATTTAACTAGGGTTCTACTACATATGTCTGAGAATAAACAAAACTAATATCAAACACAATATATATAATGTCTAAAGTAATAATAGTATCTTGTACATATAGAGCAAAATTTTAAAATCACTTTATTTGAAGTACAGAAGAATGTACACCATTAATTTTCACATCAATACAAAACACAAAACACTTGAAACAGAAACTAGACATGTTATGATAACTAGGAGGGAGGAGCAGGATACTGCTGGCTTCTTCTTGTCCCCGGTATACAAGAAGGTACTGGGTTGGCAGCCGGGCTCATCTCGTCCACACTGACGCTTTATAAAGCAGGTCAACACAAGTGGAACAATACAAAAACATGTCACTGGTAAGTACCAGAATAATTCAACATGGTAAAAACCACAGGTAGCAGGTTATTGGTGAGGTATATTTAATTGGTCACAATAGCAGTATTGTCTTAAGGAGGTAGTATAAGTGGTACTTGTTGTAGGGAAGCTTGGATAAAACCGATGTATCAGGGGGTGAGATTATCAGAAAATCTTCATTAATCTCAGTCGTTACATGGACAAACAACTGTTAAACAAGCAACCTAGTTGTTTCCTGGCTGAAAGAGATAAAGAAAGGGAGAAAACTGCTGGTATTTGAGGTGTATAAAACACAGGATAACTGCTGAAATTAAACAAGGACAAGGAAAATCAACCAAGCTGGTTTTGGGCCATGAAAACACTGATCTGAAACAAGGACAGACAAATCCTTATAAGGGTAGACAACTCTGGATTAGGTGTGGACAATCCAGGAGATTTGTACAAAGAACATCACTGCCTGTACCTCTGGAATGGGAGGAACTGGTGTTGGTTCATTGACCTCTCTTTCCGGTACTGCCTAGTATAAACATTTCACAATTAAGGATTAAGTAATTAGGAGCTGTCTGGAAATATACAAACACTACAAATATAATTAGTTGACAAGTAATGCTACACAAGCAGGAATTAACAAATATCAGTAGTAATGTCTAGTAATGTCAGACAAAAACATTTATCACCAATTTCTCTTTATAAACTGGTGAGGAGCTATGAATTGGGGGAGACACTCATCTAAGGTCTGCAGGCTTAAATTACTAACAACTGGTATCTGTATTGCTGACTGGGTGGAAGGGGCACTGGCCACCGCTGGCACATCCTCCGGAGTCGACATCTTGTACATAAATGTGTACAGGTTCATGTCAATTAAACATCATAAACAAATTGTGCAGATAATGATACAGCTTGTTATGATCGTATCTTAAAAGCTAAATATGTTATTCCTTAAAGGGGGAAGTGATGACAATTTCAAACAACATTAATTAATAATTTATCAAATTAAATGTTTAAAATGTAAAGAACAGAATAATAACATTTAAACAAATAAAGACAGCACAAAATAATTAACCCATAAAAACGGTTTGTTAGTAATACAAACTCAAAACAAGGTCACAACACAAAGCTAGATTCACAAAATTGAATATGTTCATATGGAAATTTTGTAAAAAGAAAATATTTTAAATTTAGATCAAGCATAAAACAAAGTAGAAGAGAAAGAAGAACAAAAACTAAACAGAGGATAACTTAGTACAAAAAAATGTCATGAAAATGGTTCATCCGAACAGTATTTTGAATGAAAGAATTTTGATATTGAGACTGGAGAGCAAAAAATAAGTGATCAGGTAATTGGAATTAATCACAAATGTAACCAATCTCAAAAATAATATGCTGTAAAATGAGGAATCAAATTAAATTGCAGTCTCATGTCAGTAGAAGCAAAGGAAAGGGAGTTTAACAAAAACATATTATGTAGCATTTGGCTCATAGGTTACCTCCCTTTGACCACTCTAGGTATCTTGTAATTATATATTCAAATATCTCATTCTGACATGCTGTAAGCTTACTAGTGTCATATAGTTTCTTTTTGTGGTATAGGGTGGGTTTACTTTCAAATTCAAAGGGTTTCAACATTTTACCTGGCCTTGACATGTACATCCCCAATCATATTTTTTTTTAAAGGAACATAGAATCTGAAACTACATTTAATTTTTCTAGAACTGAATCCAAGATGTTTTTTTCATTAGTGGTATAAACTCCTTCGCCCCTAAAGACACATTTGAACTCTTCCGATTCAAAGCTTGGAATAGTTCATAATGAAATGTCTGGGGTGAATGAGTTCAATATGAGAAAATTAAACAAAAAAGCATTATATTTTGTAAAAAGAAATTTTGAAATGTTGCCCAAACTCTTTAAGAACCCATCTTTAAGCAATACAACAATGTCTGTTTTAAGGAATTGTGATTAACCTTCTAGTAAGAACCCATCTTTAAGCAATACAACAATGTCTGTTTTAAGGAATTGTGATTAACGTTCTAGTAAGAACCCATCTTTAAGCAATACAACAATGTCTGTTTTAAGGAATTGTGATTAACGTTCTAGTAAGAACCCATCTTTAAGCAATACAACAATGTCTGTTTTAAGGAATTGTGATTAACGTTCTAGTAAGAACCCATCTTTAAGCAATACAACAATGTCTGTTTTAAGGAATTGTGATTAACGTTCTAGTAAGAACCCATCTTTAAGCAATACAACAATGTCTGTTTTAAGGAATTGTGATTAACGTTCTAGTAAGAACCCATCTTTAAGCAATACAACAATGTCTGTTTTAAGGAATTGTGATTAACGTTCTAGTAAGAACCCATCTTTAAGCAATACAACAATGTCTGTTTTAAGGAATTGTGATTAACGTTCTAGTAAGAACCCATCTTTAAGCAATACAACAATGTCTGTTTTAAGGAATTGTGATTAACGTTCTAGTAAGAACCCATCTTTAAGCAATACAACAATGTCTGTTTTAAGGAATTGTGATTAACGTTCTAGTAAGAACCCATCTTTAAGCAATACAACAATGTCTGTTTTAAGGAATTGTGATTAACGTTCTAGTAAGAACCCATCTTTAAGCAATACAACAATGTCTGTTTTAAGGAATTGTGATTAACGTTCTAGTAAGAACCCATCTTTAAGCAATACAACAATGTCTGTTTTAAGGAATTGTGATTAACGTTCTAGTAAGAACCCATCTTTAAGCAATACAACAATGTCTGTTTTAAGGAATTGTGATTAACGTTCTAGTAAGAACCCATCTTTAAGCAATACAACAATGTCTGTTTTAAGGAATTGTGATTAACGTTCTAGTAAGAACCCATCTTTAAGCAATACAACAATGTCTGTTTTAAGGAATTGTGATTAACGTTCTAGTAAGAACCCATCTTTAAGCAATACAACAATGTCTGTTTTAAGGAATTGTGATTAACGTTCTAGTAAGAACCCATCTTTAAGCAATACAACAATGTCTGTTTTAAGGAATTGTGATTAACGTTCTAGTAAGAACCCATCTTTAAGCAATACAACAATGTCTGTTTTAAGGAATTGTGATTAACGTTCTAGTAAGAACCCATCTTTAAGCAATACAACAATGTCTGTTTTAAGGAATTGTGATTAACGTTCTAGTAAGAACCCATCTTTAAGCAATACAACAATGTCTGTTTTAAGGAATTGTGATTAACGTTCTAGTAAGAACCCATCTTTAAGCAATACAACAATGTCTGTTTTAAGGAATTGTGATTAACGTTCTAGTAAGAACCCATCTTTAAGCAATACAACAATGTCTGTTTTAAGGAATTGTGATTAACGTTCTAGTAAGAACCCATCTTTAAGCAATACAACAATGTCTGTTTTAAGGAATTGTGATTAACGTTCTAGTAAGAACCCATCTTTAAGCAATACAACAATGTCTGTTTTAAGGAATTGTGATTAACGTTCTAGTAAGAACCCATCTTTAAGCAATACAACAATGTCTGTTTTAAGGAATTGTGATTAACGTTCTAGTAAGAACCCATCTTTAAGCAATACAACAATGTCTGTTTTAAGGAATTGTGATTAACGTTCTAGTAAGAACCCATCTTTAAGCAATACAACAATGTCTGTTTTAAGGAATTGTGATTAACGTTCTAGTAAGAACCCATCTTTAAGCAATACAACAATGTCTGTTTTAAGGAATTGTGATTAACGTTCTAGTAAGAACCCATCTTTAAGCAATACAACAATGTCTGTTTTAAGGAATTGTGATTAACGTTCTAGTAAGAACCCATCTTTAAGCAATACAACAATGTCTGTTTTAAGGAATTGTGATTAACGTTCTAGTAAGAACCCATCTTTAAGCAATACAACAATGTCTGTTTTAAGGAATTGTGATTAACGTTCTAGTAAGAACCCATCTTTAAGCAATACAACAATGTCTGTTTTAAGGAATTGTGATTAACGTTCTAGTAAGAACCCATCTTTAAGCAATACAACAATGTCTGTTTTAAGGAATTGTGATTAACGTTCTAGTAAGAACCCATCTTTAAGCAATACAACAATGTCTGTTTTAAGGAATTGTGATTAACGTTCTAGTAAGAACCCATCTTTAAGCAATACAACAATGTCTGTTTTAAGGAATTGTGATTAACGTTCTAGTAAGAACCCATCTTTAAGCAATACAACAATGTCTGTTTTAAGGAATTGTGATTAACGTTCTAGTAAGAACCCATCTTTAAGCAATACAACAATGTCTGTTTTAAGGAATTGTGATTAACGTTCTAGTAAGAACCCATCTTTAAGCAATACAACAATGTCTGTTTTAAGGAATTGTGATTAACGTTCTAGTAAGAACCCATCTTTAAGCAATACAACAATGTCTGTTTTAAGGAATTGTGATTAACGTTCTAGTAAGAACCCATCTTTAAGCAATACAACAATGTCTGTTTTAAGGAATTGTGATTAACGTTCTAGTAAGAACCCATCTTTAAGCAATACAACAATGTCTGTTTTAAGGAATTGTGATTAACGTTCTAGTAAGAACCCATCTTTAAGCAATACAACAATGTCTGTTTTAAGGAATTGTGATTAACGTTCTAGTAAGAACCCATCTTTAAGCAATACAACAATGTCTGTTTTAAGGAATTGTGATTAACGTTCTAGTAAGAACCCATCTTTAAGCAATACAACAATGTCTGTTTTAAGGAATTGTGATTAACGTTCTAGTAAGAACCCATCTTTAAGCAATACAACAATGTCTGTTTTAAGGAATTGTGATTAACGTTCTAGTAAGAACCCATCTTTAAGCAATACAACAATGTCTGTTTTAAGGAATTGTGATTAACGTTCTAGTAAGAACCCATCTTTAAGCAATACAACAATGTCTGTTTTAAGGAATTGTGATTAACGTTCTAGTAAGAACCCATCTTTAAGCAATACAACAATGTCTGTTTTAAGGAATTGTGATTAACGTTCTAGTAAGAACCCATCTTTAAGCAATACAACAATGTCTGTTTTAAGGAATTGTGATTAACGTTCTAGTAAGAACCCATCTTTAAGCAATACAACAATGTCTGTTTTAAGGAATTGTGATTAACGTTCTAGTAAGAACCCATCTTTAAGCAATACAACAATGTCTGTTTTAAGGAATTGTGATTAACGTTCTAGTAAGAACCCATCTTTAAGCAATACAACAATGTCTGTTTTAAGGAATTGTGATTAACGTTCTAGTAAGAACCCATCTTTAAGCAATACAACAATGTCTGTTTTAAGGAATTGTGATTAACGTTCTAGTAAGAACCCATCTTTAAGCAATACAACAATGTCTGTTTTAAGGAATTGTGATTAACGTTCTAGTAAGAACCCATCTTTAAGCAATACAACAATGTCTGTTTTAAGGAATTGTGATTAACGTTCTAGTAAGAACCCATCTTTAAGCAATACAACAATGTCTGTTTTAAGGAATTGTGATTAACGTTCTAGTAAGAACCCATCTTTAAGCAATACAACAATGTCTGTTTTAAGGAATTGTGATTAACGTTCTAGTAAGAACCCATCTTTAAGCAATACAACAATGTCTGTTTTAAGGAATTGTGATTAACGTTCTAGTAAGAACCCATCTTTAAGCAATACAACAATGTCTGTTTTAAGGAATTGTGATTAACGTTCTAGTAAGAACCCATCTTTAAGCAATACAACAATGTCTGTTTTAAGGAATTGTGATTAACGTTCTAGTAAGAACCCATCTTTAAGCAATACAACAATGTCTGTTTTAAGGAATTGTGATTAACGTTCTAGTAAGAACCCATCTTTAAGCAATACAACAATGTCTGTTTTAAGGAATTGTGATTAACGTTCTAGTAAGAACCTATCTTTAAGCAATACAACAATGTCTGTTTTAAGGAATTGTGATTAACGTTCTAGTTAGAACCCATCTCTAGATATTACAGAAGTTTGTCCAGACAAAGCCATTGTCAGCTACTTGTTTTATAGTAGTGTATGATATGAGATAACTGCTCTACAACTGTAATTCAATGCATTACTTACAAATCAGTGGGGACTAAAAAATTCCATGAATTGAAAAAAAAATATATATAATCAACTCATGTGTAAGAAATAATCTAATACATAAAAATAACATCTCCCTAATGTCAGTTTATCTGTAGATGAATATCTTATAATGCTGAAATTTCAAAGTAAAGGATGCATAGCAAATGGTTGGCATAATATTCATGAACACAGTATGCGCTGCTGTATTTTGTTCAAACCACCTCAACCAACTCACTCATCTTGCTATTATGCACAGCTTAGCAAGACGTGGGTAGACAGCTGCTATTCCACACATTAACTTACTATCACTTCTCCCTCCTTTGTCGTAGTATACACATGGAATCGTTCTAGACTAGCAAGACCGCTCTGCGATAAACAACACATACACAACACGGCTACTTAAAAGTGAGTCCAAGTACCCATTTATTTCTATATTATTATCATGTTTTATCATAACCTTTGTTTTGAACACGAACAATTAACTACAGTGTCAATAATGCATACTTTGAAATATTTTATTCAGCAAGACAGTTATTGTGTTTCCATTCATTTGTGAGAGAATGTGAATGGATATTTAAGAACAGTAAACAATGGCTATTTGGCTTATTTTCGTTTTCGTTAAGGAATCCCAGGCTTGTTTTTGAAACTGGCCTGTTTTAAAGGCTGATTTATTTCAGAACCATTTAAGCTGCAAGTCATTATTTGTTTTTGAAGCCTTTTAAATGGTTCAGGTCATAGTTACATGTTGCTAATAATATTTAAAATCATTTACCATCAAAATGTTAAAATGTTAATGTTAATGTTAAAAAAAAAAAAATATCTAGATATTGTGTTCATGTTATTTCAATGATACCCACTATGACTTATTTAGTGCAAATGGGTCAGCTGGTGTACTTTTTAAAGTACAGTACAGATACATTGACACGTGATTTCTAATTCTGTAACATTGTCAGTACACAACAGGTCATGCATTACAATCCAACTTCTGGTAATAAAAGACAAAGCTTACTACAGTGATTTTCTAAATTACAGGGTTAAACATTTCAAACGAAGACTATACCTGTATATACAGATACATCAGTAAGGCTATATGTATATACAGATACATCAGTAAGGCTATATGTATATACAGAAAATTCTACCATACATAAATAAGGTTATATGTCTATACAGAAAAATCATAAGGCTATATGTTTATACAGAAAAATCATAAGTACAGAAAAATCTACTATACATAAATAAGGTTATATCTTTATACAGAAAATCAATCATGAATCAATGAAACAGAAATATTGCATAAAACTATTGATATATTAATTATTTTTCCTTTGTTTTATCTGACAAAGGAGGTAAAAAAAAAAGACTTTCCTAAGCCGTGTGGAAGAAAGAAAGTACTGGTATCTTTTAGAACCAATAGATTGTGAAAGTTATATACTATATATATAGGTTAGATATAAATAGGATAATCTACAACTTCTGTGATATTACCATATGTAACGTTGACAATGGATATCTACCCACACAAAACATCCAACAACACACAGTTATCATTACCTGATCATCAACCATGCCTGTCGGCTGGTCCATCTCCCTGTCAACAACACAAAATTGGTGATAATTAGCTCCCCTTAGACCATCACAAAGCAATCTCTGCTATACTCAATAACAAAATCATAATAAAACGCAATCATGATTTTATATTCCCTTAGACTATCACAAAATTATAATAAAACACAGTGATAATTCTATATCCCCTTAGACCATCACCAAACATTCTCTGCTTGACTTAATTTTATCTCATACTTATAATTAGACCACAACAAAATTATAACTATCTCCCCTTAGACACAGCACAATCATAACTATCTCCCCTTAGACACAGCACAATCATAACTATCTCCCCTTAGACACAGCAAAATCATAACTATCTCCCTTTAAACACAACAAAATCAAAAAGCAGAAATAAGATTGGCTTGCTTTTTCTGAGAAGATTCTGACAAGGTTCTTCCCCTTCTAGTGAGGTTAAAAAGTTTAAGAGTATTTTTATAGATCAATAAACTTACCCAGATTGGCTTGCTTTTTCTGAGAAGATTCTGACAAGGTTCTTCCCCTTCTAGTGAGGTTAAAAAGTTTAAGAGTATTCTTCTAGATCAATAAACTTACCCAGATTGGCTTGCTTTTTCTGAGAAGATTCTGACAAGGTTCTTCCCCTTCTAGTGAGGTTAAAAAGTTTAAGAGTATTCTTCTAGATCAATAAACTTACCCAGATTGGCTTGCTTTTTCTGAGAAGATTCTGACAAGGTTCTTCCCCTTCTAGTGAGGTTAAAAAGTTTAAGAGTATTCTTCTAGATCAATAAACTTACCCAGATTGGCTTGCTTTTTCTGAGAAGATTCTGACAAGGTTCTTCCCCTTCTAGTGAGGTTAAAAAGTTTAAGAGTATTCTTCTAGATCAATAAACTTACCCAGATTGGCTTGCTTTTTCTGAGAAGATTCTGACAAGGTTCTTCCCCTTCTAGTGAGGTTAAAAAGTTTAAGAGTATTCTTCTAGATCAATAAACTTACCCAGATTGGCTTGCTTTTTCTGAGAAGATTCTGACAAGGTTCTTCCCCTTCTAGTGAGGTTAAAAAGTTTAAGAGTATTCTTCTAGATCAATAAACTTACCCAGATTGGCTTGCTTTTTCTGAGAAGATTCTGACAAGGTTCTTCCCCTTCTAGTGAGGTTAAAAAGTTTAAGAGTATTCTTCTAGATCAATAAACTTACCCAGATTGGCTTGCTTTTTCTGAGAAGATTCTGACAAGGTTCTTCCCCTTCTAGTGAGGTTAAAAAGTTTAAGAGTATTCTTCTAGATCAATAAACTTACCCAGATTGGCTTGCTTTTTCTGAGAAGATTCTGACAAGGTTCTTCCCCTTCTAGTGAGGTTAAAAAGTTTAAGAGTATTCTTCTAGATCAATAAACTTACCCAGATTGGCTTGCTTTTTCTGAGAAGATTCTGACAAGGTTCTTCCCCTTCTAGTGAGGTTAAAAAGTTTAAGAGTATTCTTCTAGATCAATAAACTTACCCAGATTGGCTTGCTTTTTCTGAGAAGATTCTGACAAGGTTCTTCCCCTTCTAGTGAGGTTAAAAAGTTTAAGAGTATTCTTCTAGATCAATAAACTTACCCAGATTGGCTTGCTTTTTCTGAGAAGATTCTGACAAGGTTCTTCCCCTTCTAGTGAGGTTAAAAAGTTTAAGAGTATTCTTCTAGATCAATAAACTTACCCAGATTCGCTTGCTTTTTCTGAGAAGATTCTGACAAGGTACTCGCCCTTCTGGTGAGGTTCAAATGTGGACGGGACGATGACGTAGGTACCTGGGGGCAGTTTGTGACGCCCACAGATCTCACGCATGTTAACGAAGGATGGAGACTTGGCAGTGGATGCATTGTATTTGAAGAACTTAATGTCCAGGGGACCATCACTTTCCATATTTTCTTTTAGCTGAACACAATTGAAAGCAAAATTTTAATATGTTAAAAGTGTCCATCCATTAACAGAATCTTCATTGTAAAATGACCTTATCAAAACTTTCACCTGGATTTTTTAAAATTTGCACAGTATATAATTTGCCTTCTCATGCATTCAAGTTTTAGTCAGTGCAACATTTTATGAATGTTGTCATGTGAAAAATGAGGAAAAAATACCAGAATTGTCATATGTCTCTTGCTATCTTTTGAATAAATTGACTTCTAGGGAAATATTAGGATGAGTTTGAGAATTTTGCCCAGCAGACCATACTTTCCATTTTTTCTAACACAAAATAATCTTGTCTACTAAATAGTCTAGCATTGTCATTCAATTAAATGAACTTAATATACTATAGAACTTTGTAGATGTCTGACAGATGTCAGATCATAAACTTAAAACAAAGGGAGATAACCTTGTAGATGACATAACCAATGGTGAGAAGGTCCAGTCCTTCCTTCCTCTTCTTCCTCCTGTCCTTCTGTAAAATTCCAACCAGCATAGTACAGAGGTCATCCTCATCCTCGTCAGGGTCTACCAAGGTCACCTTGTATTGAGGGTTGGTCCAGAAGGTGTCTGCCAATCAACAATGTAATTTTTATTTTCTGCCTGCCTGACATTTGAGGACAATGATTGCCTGCTGCATGGTTGGTTTGTGCTCTATGGCCTATTAACAGCTTTAGTCATTTAGGAATGAGCCAGGTTTTGTTGTTGGAGGAAAGAGCAGCCAGAGAAAAATCACAAACCTGTGGCCAGTACCTGGCAACTGCCCCACATATCTCTCGAACCTCTGACCCAGAAGTGGAGGGCTAGTGATCATTGATGGTCATGCAGACAACTTAGCCATCGACCACTGTGTGGCCCAATAAATTCACAAACTGGAAGTGGTAGTATAGCTTTAGTCACATGACACCACACTTTGTCGTCACAGCTCACCAACAGCTAATTACAAGTGTTAAAGGATACAATAGATCAGGTTCTAAGTGGTGCTATGGTGGCAACATATCAATTTTTTCTCTTCTGTGAAAAATTCTGATCTGGCAGACCCCTCATATTAGTGATATCATACACTTGGACACAGCAGGTCATTTATTTTGAAAAAACCCAAGATGCATTATCCTTAGTACTTTATACAGGAAACACTGCCACTAACATATTGTCTGCCTCAAGGTAGTCTGAAATGCGATTTCTACGAAAGTATACTACAAATTAAACTTGAGGTTAGATCAAGACAGGCTCAAAGATTTGTGACATTTGGGACACATCAAGATATATATTCTCGAAACCAAGACCACATCCTTCTCACCCAAATAGTTTCTACAACCGCCAGCATTGACCCTTGGGATCCATTCTCCTGACTCAGTTGTTGCCTCCCAGCGTTTGCCACCAGCCTGGATCTCATCTTCATCCAGAGAGTCTGGACCCAAGTTGCAAATCTCGAGCTTCTGGAAATTTGCTTTCCAGTCAGAGAATGACATCCTGCAAAGGAAAAAATATAGTTACATGAAAAAGTCAATTATACAGATAGGTCAACCAGGTATCTGTAATATCATATAGTCAACGGTAAAGGACATTTTAAAGAAACTTCAATCCTAAGACTTTTGATCACTGTTACTTGTAAAAGTGATAGGTTTAATTTGAAAAAGAAATTAAAAAAAAAAAACTTTTTCTATTAAATGCAGAAATATTCTCACTGCATTGACAAGCCTTTTACCCTTATGTTTAAATAATGAATCCCAATTATTTCTGGTTTTATATTTGCAGGGTCCATTTGAATTCAATATTTTCTGCATTCACCTCCCATGGAAAGATGTAAAATACCAAAGTTGGAAAATTCTGAAAATTGAAAATTGTGTAAACAATATGTATGAATACAGACAGGACACTATAATAACATATTCTAATACTTGTACAATGTTTTTTTGAAAAGATCACTACAAAATATTATTTGTTGAGTCGACACATTCTGTTTTACTGTAGAACTGTATATTTGTTGAGTCGACACTCTCTGTTTTACTGTAGAAATGTGTATTTGTTGAGTGGACACTTTCTGTTTTACTGTAGAACTGTATATTTGTTGAGTCGACACATTCTGTTTTACTGTAGAACTGTATATTTGTTGAGTAGACACTCTCTGTTTTACTGTAGAAATATATATTTGTTGAGTCGACACTCTCTGTTTTACTTTAGGAATGTGTATTTGTTGAGTGGACACTTTCTGTTTTACTGTAGAACTGTATATTTGTTGAGTCGACACATTCTGTTTTACTGTAGGACTGTATATTTGTTGAGTCGACACTCTCTGTTTTACTGAAGAACTGTGTATTTCCTGAGTCGACACTTTCTGTTTTACTGTAGAACTTTGTATTTCCTGAGTCGACACTTTCTGTTTTACTGTAGAACTGTGTATTTGTTGAGTCGACACTTTCTGTTTTACTGTAGAAGTGTATATTTGTTGAGTCGACACATTCTGTTTTACTGTTTTACTGTATATTTGTTGAGTCGACACTTTCTGTTTTACTGTAGAACTGTGTATTTGTTGAGCTTACATGATAGCTACTGTAGACTTTTTGAGGCAATGTTTCCATAGTTACTGTAGTAAGTACTGTGTATGAATGACTATCCTCTGCAACTGTGCCATCTTGAAAATTAAATGTTTTCAATTAAACTAGAAAATGTCTGCAAGACATGAATGCCCGCCCCGTCACCATGTTAAGTTAGTTTCAGTGTTTAATGTTCTATAGTTACAACCACTTTGATCATGAGACGGGACGGGACGCGACGGGACGCGACAGACATGGGCAACACTTTATGCTTTCCCCCCCATTTGTGGCAGGGTCATGAAAACAAATACTCACCAAAATTCACCATCATCATCAAAGGTAAGACCAATGTTTTTCTTTTCTTCTTCTGGAATGAATCTCCACTCTTCAGACCTTGGAAATTAAAAACAAGATATCAAAGTACTATTTTCACCAGAAGATAACATCAATTACTTTTTAATTTTTAAAACATTAATAAAAACAACCAGAAGTTACCTTTTCCATCAGAAACATTATCTGATCTGTGACTTGAACAGTTTACCTAGACACATTTCCAAAATGATTTGCAATGAAATTGCCCTTCAGTTTTTTTGGTGGTTTTTTCTCAATGGATAAGAATGGATGAAGATAGGAAAAGAGAAAAACTTGTTATGTAAAAAAGTCTTACTGGTCACTCCAGGCTCCCTTCCATTCTGCCTCGTTACCCCAAGGGTTACGTACCCTGACCATGGGGAAACGCCCACTTGTACGTGGTGTCCTAATGTCCACCTACAATACAAAACATCAATATTATTTTGAAGATCGAATTGGAACCAGAGCAAAATATTTACACAAATAACTCATTTGCTGGACACAGGTGATAGAACACCCCCGTCAGGACACAGGTGATATAACACCCCCCTCTGGACACAGGTGATAGAACACCCCCATCTGGACACAGGTGATATAACCCCCCCATCTGGACACAGGTGATATAACACCCCCGTCCGGACACAGGTGATATAACACCCCATCTGGACACAGGTGATAGAACACCCCCGTCTGGACACAGGGGATAGAACACCCCCGTCGTGATAGAATACCCCTTTCTGGACACAGGTGATAGAACACCCCCATCTGGACACAGGTGATATAACACCCCCATCTGGACACAGGTGATATAACACCCCCGTCCGGACACAGGTGATATAACACCCCATCTGGACACAGGTGATAGAACACCCCCGTCTGGACACAGGTGATATAACACCCCCGTCAGGACATAGGTGATATAACACCCCCGTCCCAACACAGGTGATAGAACACCCCCGTCTGGACACAGGTGATAGAACACCCCCATCAGGACACAGGTTATAGAACACCCCGTCTGGACACAGGTGATAGAACACCCCTGTCAGGACACATGTGATATAACAACCCTGTCTGGACACATGTGAAATAACACCGCCATCAGGACACAGGTGATAGAACACCCCCATCAGGACACAGGTGATAGAACACCCCCATCTGGACACAGGTGATAGAACACCCCCATCTGGACACAGGTGATAGAACACCCCCGTCTGGACACAGGTGATATAACACCCCCGTCTGGACACAGGTGATATAACACCCCCGTCGTGATAGAATACCCCTTTCTGGACACAGGTGATATAACACCCCCATCTGGACACAGGTGATATAACACCCCCGTCCGGACACAGGTGATATAACACCCCATCTGGACACAGGTGATAGAACACCCCCGTCTGGACACAGGTGATAGAACACCCCCGTCTGGACACAGGTGATAGAACACCCCCGTCTGGACACAGGTGATAGAACACCCCCGTCTGGACACAGGTGATATAACACCCTGTCTGGACACAGGTGATATAACACCCCCATCTGGACACAGGTGATAGAACACCCCCTTCTGCACACAGGTGATATAACACCCCTGTCTGGACACACATGATATAACAACCCCGTCTGGACACACATGATATTACACACCCGTCTGGACACACATAATATAACAACAGGTGATATAACCCCCCTGTCTGGACCCCGTCTGGACAAAGGTGACAGAACACCCCCGCCAAGATACACATGATATAACACCCCGTCTGGACACAGGTGATAGAACACCCCTGTCTGGACACACATGATATAACACCCGTCTGGACACACATAATATAACACCCCGTCTTGACACAGGTGATAGAACACCCCGTCTGGACAAAGGTGACAGAACACCCCCGCCAAGATACACATGATATAACACCCCGTCTGGACACAGGTGATAGAACACCCCTGTCTGGACACACATGATATAACACCCGTCTGGACACACATAATATAACACCCCGTCTTGACACAGGTGATATAACACCCCCGTCTGGACACAGGTGATAGAACACCCCCGTCTGGACACAGGTGATAGAACACCCCTGCCTGGACACACATGATATAACACCCCCGTCAGGACACAGGTGATTTAACACCCTGTCTGGACACAGGTGATATAACACCCCCATCTGGACACAGGTGATATAACCCCCCTGTCTGGACACACATGATATAACAACCCCGTCTGGACACACATGATATTACACACCCGTCTGGACACAGGTGATAGAACACCCCTGTCTGAACACATGATATAACATCCCCGTCTGGACACACATGATATAACACCCCTGTCTGGACACAGGTGATAGAACACCCCTGTCAGGACACAGGTGATAGAACACCCCTGTCTGAACACATGATATAACATCCCCGTCTGGACACACATGATAGAACATCCCCGTCTGGACACACATGATATAACACCCCTGTTTGGACACAGGTGATAGAACACCCCTGTCTGAACCCATGATATAACATCCCCGTCTGGACACACATGGTATAACACCCCGTCTGGACACACATGATATTACACCCCTGTCTGGACACACATGATATAACCCCCCGTCTGGACACACATGATATTACACCCCTGTCTGAACACATGATATAACAACCCCGTCTGGTTACAGGTGATAGAACATCCCCGTCTGGACACACATGATATAACACCACTGTCTGGACACAGGTGATAGAACACCCCTGTCTGGACACACATGATATAACATCCCTGTCTGGACACACATGATATAACATCCCCCTCTGGACACACATGATATAACATCCCCGTCTGGACACACATGATAGAACACCCCCGTCTGGTTACAGGTGATAGAACATACCTGTCTGGACACACATGATAAAACACCCCTGTCTGGACACACGTGATATTACACCCCTGTCTGAACACATGATATAACATCCCCGTCTGGACACACATGATATAACACCCGTCTGGACACAGGTGATAGAACATACCTGTCTGGACACACATGATATAACACCCGTCTGGACACAGGTGATAGAATATCCCCATCTGGACACACATGATATAACACCCGTCTGGACACAGGTGATAGAACACCCCCGTCAGGACACAGGTGATAGAATATCCCCATCTGGACACACATGATATAACACCCGTCTGGACACAGGTGATAGAACACCCCCGTCTGGACACAGGTGATAGAATATCCCCATCTGGACACGCATGATATAACACCCCGTCTGGTTACAGGTGATAGAACATCCCCGTCTGGACACACATGATATAACACCCCTGTTTGGACACAGGTGATAGAACACCCCTGTCTGAACACATGATATAACATCCCCGTCTGGACACACATGATATAACACCCCGTCTGGACACACATGATATAACATCCCTGTCTGGACACACATGATATAACATCCCTGTCTGGACACACATGATATAACATCCCCCTCTGGACACACATGATATAACATCCCCGTCTGGACACACATGATAGAACACCCCTGTCTGGACACACATGATATAACACCCCGTCTGGACACACATGATATTACACCCCTGTCTGGACACACATGATATAACATCCCCGTCTGGACACACATGATATAACATCCCCGTCTGGACACACATGATATAACATCCCCGTCTGGACACACATGATAGAACACCCCTGTCTGGACACACATGATATTACACCCCTGTCTGAACACATGATATAACAACCCCGTCTGGACACAGGTGATGCTGTTACTCACCAGCTGGACACTTGTAACACTGTAAGCATGACCCATGACCAGTCCATTTTCAAGAACAGCTTCCAACTGGTTTGGATCAGCCTGCAACAACAAACAAAACATTGACAAACTCATTTCTTTATTTCCCGAGCTGTACATTTACATGTTTCTCAGGATATAGGTCGCAGCTACCTTAGCCTTGTAATCCGCACTCTGCCAGCAAAGACATTGTATACATGCATAACAAACTGGTTACTCCAGGTAAATTAGTACAGTAGATATGCTACAGATAAAACTTTTCAAAGGTTGCAGTCAGAGGTCAAAGCATACGTCACAATGACCCACTTCATGAACTCTGTACTAAACCATTCTAAGATGTACTTGCATACTAAATTTGATTACTCCTGGTTAAGTAGTATTTTCAAGAGTAAAGCCAAAGGTCGAGGCAATGGTCACAGTGACCTAATTTTTACATTTTACACTCCACCATTGTTAGATGTAATTGCATACCAAATCTGGTAACTCCATGTGAAAGTATAGAAAATATGCCCTGGACCTCATTTTTTCAAAGGTTGAGGTCTAAGGTCAAATCATTCCCTGACCTACTTTTTGTTCTTGGCACTCTTTCATCAAAAGATCTACTTGGTCACCATATCTGGTTACTGACCAGGTGACATAGTATAAAGGATATACCTCAGAAATATTTTGGTAAACCTTCATAAAATGGGCCGTAACTCCAACGAGAGGCTCACAGGGCCTGTATCGCTCACCTGGATATCTAAGCAATCATTGCAAACCATTTTCCAAATGAGATCCAAGGGAATAGACCAGACCCCCAAGGCCAATCCAAGATTTTTCATGCCCAGCAATTTATGTATGGTTATGGGGAGGGGATCTCAACCGTTTCCAACTGTGACTCAGAAACTAGTTCCCTAGGGCTGTGGCTAGACCCCAGGATCAAATCTAATATCATGACTGCATTTGTCTCTTTTTGTCCAGCATTTGTATTTATAGTCTTGGGGTGGGGATCTCAAACGTTTCAAAGTTATGAACCAGGGGTTAAGTCTTCAAGGGTGGGCCAGACATTGGTGTCAATTCTAATATCATTACTGCATTTGTCTCTTTATGCCCAGTATTTGTATATATAGTATTGGGGTGGGGATCTTAACCATTTTGAAGTTATGACCCAGGGGTTAAGTCTCCAAGGGTGGGGCAGACCCCAAGGCCATCCTGGAAGCAAATGTACATTCTTCTCTTTATACTCAGCAATTGTATATATGGTTATACCGTGGGGATCTCAACCATTTCCAAGTAATAAACTTTCTTTGACCCCACCCCTTAGCCTGGTGGGTCAGCCCCACCATTTGTTCAATTTTGAATCCCTGCCTCCCATGAAAGCTTCCTACCGATTATGATCCATATCCATGGCATAGTTCTACAGAAGAAGTCGTTTATAGCAATATAAACAAATAGCCCCCTTTTGGCCGCACCCTCAG